GGGGCCGCCCTTGATTTCTTCTTGATTGCCTATGTTAGGCGGAAGAAGCTTGACATCTGCTCAAGACCACGCCGCTCGGATCGCCAACTTGCCGAATTTCATCGACCTTGCTCACCGAGAGGGCGATCCTATGAGTTATTTGAGTCACCTCTTATCTGCTATCAAACGGTTTCACCCTGAATCCAGTCAGTACTTTCGCAATTGGCAGCGATGTTACACTCCCTCCTGAGCAATTGCTGGTTAAAGCAATGATGGGAGTGGCGGAGAGCCAAGAGTTAAGACGGCCGAACCCTTATAAGACAGGAGGATGTTAAAGTTCATCAAAGTCTCGCCAAAAAGTTCAACTTTGTGTTGTCCAAACATAGCCCAAACCTCGCCTCTTCAAAAAATTGTTCAGCCAAACATAGAAGGGTTAAAAAAAGGTTCAGCAAAACATAGAAGGCTCAAAAAAAAGTTCAGCCAAACATAGAAGGGCTAAAAAGAAGTTCAGCGAAACATAGAAGGTTCAAAAAAAGTTCAGCCAAACATAGAAGGGTTTAAAAAAAGTTCAGCAAAACATAGAAGGTTCAAAGGAAAATTCAGCCAAACATAGAAGGGTTAAAAGAAAGTTCAGCAAAACATAGAAGGTTCAATAAAAGTTCAGCCAAACATAGAAGAGTTAAAAAAAGTTGAGCGAACCATAGAAGGTTTAAAGACAGGTCAGCCAATATAGAAGGGCTTTAACAAAGTTCAGCAAGACATAGAAGTTTCTAAAAAGGTTCAGCCAAACATAGATGGCCGGAAAAAGTTCGGCAAAACAAAGATTGTTGAAAAACAATCAGCAAACATAGAAGGCAACAATCGCACCTGGACCTTGATTTTTTTGAAGAGAGGCGCAATTAGCCCAAGCCTTCGAGAAAGAAGGCCACAATTTCCAGATTTTTGCAAAAAATCAAGAAAGCTTAGCGTGGTGATCAACCACATGGCTCAGCGAAACCACATAGTCGTTGTCGCAGGCTCTCACAGACACCAATTACAACTGTGTTCAATAAAGAAAACTGGCAACGCTCGCACCTGGACCTTGATTTTGGTTTTTAAATTTTGAAGAGAGGCGCAAATAGCTCAAACCTTCCAATCTCCAGATTTTTGCAAAAATCAAGAATACTTAGAGTGGTGATCAACCACATGGCTCAGCGAAATCACATAGTCACAGACTCTCACAGAGCTTCGACCAAAACAATGCCACAGAATGGATGCGACTACAACTGCTTTCAAGAAAGAAGAAGGCAACAATCGCACCTGGACCTTGTTTTTGCTTTTTTTTGAAGAGACGCGCGAATAGCTCAAACTTTCAGGAAAGAAGGCCATAACCTCCACACTTTTGACTTCGATCTCCCTTCCGCCAGATACCTCCCTCCAGTTCCCTGCCGCCAGTTTCTTTCCTCCAGCTCCTTGCCTCCAGTTTTCATCCTCCTTCTTCCAGTTCCCTGCCTCCAGTTCTCTTCCTCCAGTTCCCTGCCTCCAGTTCCTTTCCTCCAGTTCCCTGCCTCCTTCCCTGCTTCCAGTTCCCTTCCTCCAGGTCCCGTCCTTGAGAGGTCCCTACCTCCATTTCCCTTCCTCCAGTTTTACTTCACTGGTGTTGACTAGCTGACGGCGCGGGCATAGTTTTGCTTGCGCTGCCAGGCGGACAGGTGTAGTGTAGTTCCCGACTTCAACCCTAAGTCTTAAACATGTGAAAAAATCGGGCAGCGTTTTGTTTACAGCCATAGTTTTGCACGTGTACAAAGCAGTTGACCTAATAAGAGGTGCGGCAAGCTGAGTCATCAAACCCTCAGCCAAACCCTCGCCAAACCCTCGCTAAAGTCTCGCCGTTTCCTCGGCCAAAATTCGCCTAAATCTACCCAAACATTTTTGGACAAAGATCGAGGCAGTTTTGATCCAACTTTTTGTACCTCGACAGTTCGCGCAGAAGTAGCGTGAGGAAAGCTCAACAAAAGTTCGACCAAAGCTCGCGAAAGTGTCGCCAAAGTCTTGCTAAAGTCTCGCTAAAGTGTCGCCAAACCCTCGCCGTTTCCTCGGCCAAAACTCGCCCAAATTTGCCCCAAAATTTTGGACAAAGATCGACGCACCTTGGACCCAACTTCTGGTACTTCGAGAGTTCTCGCAGAAACACTGGTGCAACATTTTTTTTCACACCTCGCACGGTCAGGCAGCGCACGCACAGTGCAGCAGCAGGAATTCGATTTCCCTTCCGCCAGTTCCCTTCCTCAAGTTCCCTTGCCCGAACTCATCGTCCAGTTCCCTGTCTGCCCCCCACTTCTCTTCGGCCAGCTCCACCTCCGCCTTCGTCCAGTTTCGTGCCTACTACCCACCACCCGCCACCCCCATCTCCGTCAACAGTTTTGCCAGTTCCCTTCCTCCAGCTCCCTGCCTCCAGTTCCTTCTCCAGATCCCGGCCTGCAGTTCCCTTCCTCCAGTTCCCTGCCTCCAGTTCCCTTCCTCCAGCTCCCTGCCTTCCAGTTCCCTTCCTCCAGCTCTCTTCCTCCAGTTCCCTGCCTCCAGTCCCCTTCCTCCAGCTCCCTTCCTCCAGTTTCCCTTCCTCCCTGCCTCCAGTTCCTTCTCCAGATCCCGGCTGCAGTTCCTTCTCCCAGTTCCCTGCCTCCAGTTCCCTTCCTCCAGCTCCCTGCCTCCAGTTCCCTTCCTCCAGCTCTCTTCCTCCAGTTCCTTGCCTCCAGTTCCCTTCCTCCACCTGCCTGCCTCCAGTTCCCTTCCCTCCAGTTCGCTTCCTCCACTTACCTTCCTCAAGCTCGCTGCCTCCAGTTCCCCTCCTTCCTTCCCTCCCTCCGTCCTTCCTTTCTTCCTTCCTTCCTTCCTTCCGTCCGTCCGTCAGTTTAGTTTAAAATTTAGATGAATTTTAGTATAGAAGTCTAGGTTTGCTTAAATTCTTCAACCCTTCTAGATTTGTTTGATTTTTTGAGCCCTTCTAGGTTTGCTGTACCTTTTTTGGAACCCTTCTAGGTTTGTTTGATTTTTAAAACCCTTCTACTGCAGGTTTGATTAAACCTTTTTTGAACCCTTCTAGGTTTGCTTGAACATTTTTTAAATAACCCTTCTAGGTTTGTCTGAGCTTTTTTGGAACCCTTCTAGGTTTGCTTGAACTCTTTTCAACCGTCTTAGGTTTGATTGAAACTTTTTGGAACCCTTCTAGGTTTGCTTGAACTTTTTGAACCATTCTAGGTTTGCTTGAACTTTTCTAAAGCCCTTCCAGGCGTGCTTCGATCTGTTTTGGAACCCTTCTAGGTTTGCTTGAACATTTTTTTGGATAACCCTTCTAGGTTTGCTTGAACTTCTTTTGGAACCCGTCTAGGTTTGATTGACTTTTTTTAACCCTTCTAGGTTTGCCTGAGCTTTTTTGGAACCCTTCTAGGTTTGCTTGAACTTTTTTTAACCCTTCTAGGTTTGCTGTAACTTTTTTGGAATCCTTCTAGGTTTGCTTGACTTTTTTTGAACCCTTCTAGGTTTGCTTGAACTTTTTTTTGAACCCTTCTAGGTTTGCTTGAACTTTTTTGGAACCCTTCTAGGTTTGCTTGAACTTTTTTTGGACCCTTCTAGGTTTGCTTGAACCTTTTTTTTAACCCTTCTAGGCTTGCTTGAACTTTTTTTTAACCCTTCTAGGTTTGTTTGAACTTTTTAAAAACCTTTCTAGGTTTGCTTGAACTTTTTTTGAACCCTTCTAGGTTTGCTTGAACTTTTTTGGGACTGTTCTAGGTTTGCTTGAACTTTTTTCCAACCCTTCTAGGTTTGCTTGAACTTTTTTGGAACACTCTATGTTTGGTTGAACTTTTTTCAATACAAAAATGAACTTTTTCCATAGAAATGGAACTTTGCTAATCTCCTGTCTTATTAGGGGTTCGGCCATCTTAAGCCAAGAGCAAACAACTTTTGCATTGCTGCTTGCGTTGGCTCTTACCCACTGTCATGTGGTGGCTCATAGCGCAGCAAAGGGATGAGTGTCATCATCCCGGCAGCAAGCCTTCGCTAGGCAATCCCCAGATGTTCTGGTCCTTGATGAACCTTTGATCAACTGCGCAACGACCGACGTCAGATCGTGGTCCACAGTTTCGGGCCTACTTTGGCGGCCTTTTGACTGCGATTTGCTTCGGACGACTACTCACCTTACAGCTTGAGACGAGGTGGGGCCACTTGGTGTTTCCAATCGTCCCTGAGCCTAGATGCCACAGTGGCGGAGCTGCAACAATACAGCCAAGCAGTACATCGACGAGGGCGCCGCTAAACTGGCGCAGGTGCATTTCACAGCTCTCCAGCGCACGCGTATCTGGCTTTGGAGGCTGGAGGGTTTGCGGCTACGCCAGAAAGGCAGGGCCGGTCAAGGTACCGTTGTGAGGCCTGCAGTGCTCAGATAGCAATGTTGAAGCGCCCCTGAAAAAAGCCTGCTGTGCTTATTGGAGCGCAAGGTAGACATTGCAGTGAGTGATGTCGAAACAAACATAGTTTGTGGAGCAACGATACTATGTCGACGACTCGCTCCAGATTTTTGGCTTCCCTCCGCCACCCCTTGTCACCCCCTTTGCGGGTGTGCTTGGGCCACTGGGCGCGGCTTGGGACAGTGAGGCCTCTTGAGGCGAAAAGCCAACCTCTCTTGAGAGCTTGCGTGTGTGCAGCAGTGGGTTGCAAAAGGTTTCACGCCTATTTACCGGTCAAGGTACCGTTGTGGAGGCCTGCAGCGCCTCAGGTAGCAACCTTGAGGCACCCCTGAAAAAGGGTGCCTGCTGTGCTTTTTTAGAGCGGAAGGTAGGCATGTATATATATATTTATATATAATATACACAATTTGTTGGCACTGCTGCCAAGCAGCAGATGCAGAGATGACCTGACCTCACTGGACTCGCTGGGTACCAGGTTCCTGCAAGGCTTCATTCTAGATTTGAATGTATTTTATGTTCTTCTTTGTTCCTAGCCGCTTTGGAGGTAAGACCTTTTTGTTTCCTTTCCTTTTTCAGGAAAGCCTTCATGCTGGGCTTTGACCAAGCTGATGCAGTTGCGCTTCTTCGCCTGGACGATTTGTTCATCCAGTCCTTCGAGGTGAAGGATGTGAAGCGTTTGCAGGGTGACCACCTCTCCCGGTGTATTGGCCGTATTGCGGGCAAGGATGGAAAAACCAAGCGGCCTGGTAGAAAACCTTTGATGCGGAATACAAGGACATATGAACAACTAGGATAATTATAGAAAATATGGAAGTAACATAATATAGTCGCATGATCTTGATGCTTTGAGTTGGTGAAAGACAGAACATTTTGTTAATCTTACACCTAATTACACCCTTTTTGTGAGCCCAAAGCAAGCTCAAGCCAGGTACGCAATAGAAAATGCTACTCGCACGCGCATTTCTTTGTGTGAAGACAAGATCCACATCCTGGGCTCGTTTGCAAACATCCGATTAGCGCGGGACTCTATTTGCAACTTGATCCTGGGCAGTGCTCCTGGGAAGGTTTACACCAAGCTTCGAACTGTCTCAAAGCGTTTGCAGGAGCGGATTTGAAGCAGTGGCCACAGCTTGTGACGAGGCAGCGCAATGCAATGCTTTGCACAGCACGGCTGATAGTACAAAACGTTAGGGTTTTGGCCAGTGCATGGCCACTGCTCATTCGTGGGGTCATGATGTCCCATGTCGAGATGCATGCGCAGCTGCCGACGCAGCTTAAGACGCGGCATCAACCTGGATTGGGTTTGTGAGTCAGAGAGTTAATTGAAAGATTGAACTCACGTGTGCTTGCTTGGATTTCTCCATGCCGCGGATGTGGTTTGATTGAATTAGTGTCCAGCTCCTGTATCAACCCTTTTTCATAAGACGGGGTACATCCACTTGGTTTGACGGATGTTCTAGATGCTGCTATAGGTGTTGAGTGCTGGGCTTTGATGATATATGTAATATATAGCATACACTTATTGTTGCCCATTAGTTTCCGAAACGTCTCGCTGGCTCCTGCCCATCATGATCCTATTTGTCTCACCAGGGCTTCAACAGCCCTCGGACCTCAGGAGTCAAAAGTCTGGCAGGGAGTCTATGCTTCATTTAGTCATTCTCAGAATTGCAGAACTCGCAATCGCAATCCATAGTTCAACTGGGACGTACTCCAGCTACATGGCTGCCTGGAGTTAGCTTAGGCATTCTTTTGGATGATCAAACCATATTAAACCTGCATTTGCTCCGCTGTGGAGGGCTCATATAAACACCCAAAGGTGTGAGCATTGAAGATGCAAGGCACCAAGCTAATCCAATGTGGGGGCATGTATTGAATCCAGATGACCTTTGTAGACATATGGTGATATAGACAAAGTCGGGACTGCTTAAACTGACACATATGTGCACAGTGCACATATATATATATATCAGTGTATATTAATATCTATATATATATATACATAGGTTTTCTGTCATAAATTCTTTATGTTTCTATACCTACATTTTTGGACCTAAGCTACTCTCAGAGACACTTCTTGGGTCTTGCAGATGGCAGTTGATCCTGTGGCCTCGAAATTCTTCCAGAAGCACCAAGCGGAAGAAGCAAATGCAAAGTGCTGCGACAGCGTGGGGTCAAAAGCAGAATGGGCATCGGTGTCTCACGGCATCTACATCAGCATAGAAGCTGCTGGAGTACATCGAAGTTTGGGGGTGAAACGAAGCTTCGTTTTGTCCACAAGCTTAGATAGTTGGAAACCCGAGCACCTCAAGATGATGCAACTTGGAGGAGTGCCTCTGGGATTTTCAAACATTTGCTGAAGAGAGTGCTGAGGAGGAAACATAACAGTTAATTTAAGCTCGAAAGCTTTTTTGCAAATTGACATATGGATACATATGGTAGCCATGCCCCAGAGATGCGACGATGCCAGGAAACCAGCGTTTCCACGACTTCATGTCCCAGCACGTGCCGAAAGATATGCCCTTGCGGCAAAAATACCTCACGCGAGCAGCAGAGTGGTATCGAGAAAATCTTCGAGCAGAAGCTGAAGGCTTAGAACCTCCAGCACCCTTGAAGCCAGGAACTGGCCATCTCTTGCTGGAGAAGCTTTGCTGCAGAGCATGTCCATCGCCGCGCTTCTGTTCTGATTAAATGATAATCATACATTCTCTGAGTATGTTGATGAGCACACTGCTTGTGATTATTGTTGGCTTTGTAATCTTGACAGTGGATGGACGCTCAGGAATGCAACTTCACAAGAAGAACTCCTGAACAAAATTTTCGTACCGAATGCTAATGCTTCGGTGCATGCAACGCCTCAGAGGCTTGGGGACGTCAGGAACTTGCGTTGAGCATCCAGTGGTAAGCCATTAATGGTATGCCTGGCATATCGTTTTGTTGTTCAAACTAGATGAAACAATGAAGGTAAGAGGCCCTTCAATCAGGCCCCCTCTACTCAAAGGGGCCCTGACCTTCTTTTTCCATCTCTTTTTAAATTGAGAGTTGCAGAGTTGCAGAAGCAGAACACATTCTTCCACTTGACAGCTGCAGTGTACATCCAAGTCTAAGTGATTATATTTTATCCCGTTGCCAACTTGATTGCTTAGTAGAAACGGGATGCATTTTGCATAGGAAGTGCTTTGCTTCTTGCATATGTTGGAGGAATCTCACAGCCTCACGCTCATTGTCAAGCCTTCCTGCGAGGCGAGTGGCAAATCAAATCCAGACAGATTATATATATATATATACACCATATATATATATCACGAAAGCCAGCCGGTAGGCTGGGCTTGAGGTTGTTGGAGCGAACGAAGTGAGTAAAGGGGGTGTGGGGGGGTGGTTGCGCGGTGGCCAATTTTGGAGAGGTGAACCCAGAGCCTGGTGGGGGAGAGCGACAAAAAGAGGTGGGCCGCTTGGTAGTGACAAATGAGTGGTTTGAGGGGTGTTGTGATGCCGGTGATGTAATTGACGGCGAAGTGTGCATCATCAGCACCGCGAGGGGCTCAGGAGGCCATGGAAAGAGAACAGATTGCAGTTGCGGCTATGCTTAGCGTTGCTGTCGGACTGAAGAGGGCGCTCCCGATGCGGTGGGAGTTCACGTGAGTTGGGGTTCCGACTCCCACCACATGGGGAGCAGTTCGGTTTTGTCGCAGGCCCTGAACAAACGGCATCATGCACCCCATGTGGGGTGCCCTTTTCAGTCCAGCAACTGGACCTTGCTACGGACAAAAAAACACCCCTCCCCTATTCAGAAACTTCTGTTTCCAACGCTTGCCGCTTCTCTCTCCTGCCCCCAACCCCACCACATAGGGAGTGCCCTCTTCAGTCCGGTTCTCTCGCAAGCCCTCAACAGATGGCATCATGCACCCCATCTGGGGTGCCCTTTTCAGTCCAGCAACTCGACCTTGCTACGAATACCCTAAGTTATTCAGGACCTTCCGCCTCCAACGCTTGCCCGCTGCAATCTCTTCTCTCTCCTGCCTTCAACAACTTCCTTGTGAACTCCCACCACATGGACAGTGCCCTCTTCAGTTCGGTTCTCTCGCAGGCCCTGAACAGATGGCATCATGCACCCCACTTTTCAGTCCAGCAACTAGACCTTGCTACGGGTAAAAAAGGGCACCCCTAAGCTATTCAGAACCTTCTGTCTCCAACGCTTGCCCGCTGCAATCTCTTCTCTCTCCTGCCCCCAACCCAGTGCCCTCTTCAGTCCAGTTCTCCCGCAGGCCCTCAACAGATGGCATCATGCACCCCATGTGGAGTGCCCTTTTCAGTCCAGCAACTAGACCTTGCACGATTTAAAAGGGCACCCCTAAGCTATTCAGGGCCTTCCGCCTCCAACGCTTGCCCACTGCAATCTCTTCTCTCTCCTGCCCGGCCCTAACCCCCAATCCACGTGAACTCCCACCCGCCAGATAGGGGGTGCCCTCTTCAGTTTGAATCTCTCGCAGGCCCTCAACACATCATGCACCCCGCTGCCCTTTTCACTCCAGCAACTAGACCTTGCTACGGAAAAAAAAGCGCACCCCTGCGCTATTCAGAACCTTCTGTCTCCAACGCTTGCCCGCTGCAATTGTTTCTCTCTCCTACCCCCCAACCCCACCACATAGGGAGCGCCCTCTTCAATCCGGTTCTCTCGCAGGCCCTCAACAGATCAACAGATGGCATCATGCGCCCCATGTGGGGGGGCCCTTTTCAGTCCAGCAACTCGCCCTTGCTACGCATTAAAGAGGGTGCCCCGAAGCTATTCAGGACCTTCCGCCTCAAACGCTGGCCCACTTGCCCACTGCAATCTCTTCTCTCTCCTGCTTTCAACAACCTTCCATTCCCCACACATGGGGAGTGCCCTCTTCAGTTCGCTTCTCTCGCAGGCCCTGAACAGATAGCATCATGCGCCCTATGTGGGGTGCCCTTTTCAGGCCAGCAACCATAGGGAGTGCCCGGTTCTCTCGCAAGCCCTCAACAGATGGCGCATGCACCCCATGTGGGGTGTGCCAACTAGACCTTGCTGCGAATGGAAAAGGGCGCCCGTAAGCTATTCAGGACCTTCCGGGGCACCCCCTATGCGGTGGGAGTTCAATGGACCATTGTCTTGAATTTGTGCAATCTCCTTGCTGTACAAGTCACATGTGTCATCTTGTACAATTATTGAACTATTTTGTACTGTTGACATTCCACGTTGCGTCCATACCACAGAGGTTAGCAGATTGGCGCCATTTGAAGTGGCCAGCTGTTGCTGGAAACCATACCACTTACTCCAAACTACATTCCAAGCTTAAATGAGAACAACGAAAGCCAGCCGTCAACTCGCTTGAAACATAGACCAACGCACCATACCCAACCTTCCCCCGACTACAAGGGTGCCCTCTTTCCCCTCCACAACGCCCCGACATCGAGACGCTAAGGGGCACCCATCCGAAACCTCTGTATTCCACTTTCTCCTTCCATTCTTTTTCGACCGACGGCCATATCCACTTCACCACTTCCAGCTCCTCCTTGTCCACTCTGCCTATTTACATGTATATATATGTCCTCACGAAAGCCTACCGATAGCCTCGCCCACGACCGTCTCTGGTCACTCATTACCAACACGCACTGACGAACTCACATAAAATCTTTGAGGGTGCCCTTTTTTCACCTCCAAAACATTCCTGAACGAGGACGAAAAAGGGCGCCCCCCCCTTTTACTTCTACCGTCTGTTTCTACCTCCTCTCGCGTACCTGCGATGCCAACTTCACCCCATAAACGTAATGTGAGCCTATCACTTCATCTTGCGCGCTCAAGTCACTCCAATATCAACCTCACCACTTCCGGCTACTCTTTGTCCACTGACTCTACCTATACACACACACACACACGGGTATATATATATATATCTATCCTCACCTACCCTACCCATTGCCTCGCACATGAACCCCCACCGCCGTCTCTGCTCACTGATTCGCAACACGCCGCCGGCAAGCGCGTCTCACTTCCTGAGGGGTGCCCTTTTTCACCTCCAACTCCTCCCGGAACCGGAGCGAAAAGGGCCCCCCCCAGACCTATGTCTTCATCGGTGTGGCTGCGATGTCAACTTCGCCCCATGACATTACTCTTTGCCCGATGTTACCCCATCACCTCCTCTTGCACGCCAAGTCTTTGCCCGGGCCTACCCTGAGAGCATCCCCTAAGCCAGAGGCTGGCTTTCGTCCCCTCCCTTCTCAGGTATAGACTATATCAACAAGGTCATAATTGAAGTTGAATGAGCAGAGTAAAGGATTTGGGTTGAGGGGTTCCTGTGCGGTCTCATGGCGATATCAGACCTTCGAAACTCACACGCATTGAGATGCCAACGTCGATCTACAGTACTTTCAATAAGCTTGCATACACAAAGATCATCTATCTATCTATATATATATATATATCGCAACTTCTGAAAGGTGAGCCGCTGTCAGATCTAGTCAGTCAGGTCTGCTTCGGGAGATCTTGTTGGACGCTTGACAAAGAAACTCAAAGCCCTACATGAGGCTCACTCCCGCGTCACAAAAATTGTTTGGGAGGACCACGTTGTGCTGTGTCATGTGCATCGGGTCTCTTATCGCCGTACTATACTATACAAAACATAATTCTTAGACGAACAAATGCAACACAGAGGGACGGTTTTAATGAAGGCAAACGCCACACACACATACTTCAGCAGTTGTTGTAAACCTTACTTGCATAAATTTCCTAGGAATGTGAGAGAGTTCCTTTTTCCTTTGGAGGTGAAGAACACCAAAGACAAGACTCCAGCAAAGGTTTGGCCAGGAAGTGAGGCATCGGGTGAGATCACACATCCTTGGGAGACAACTCTAGGGGCAGTACGGGTGTGCAATTCTGACAGCAAATTTTGATGGTATCACATGTATATGTTGTGTTTGCAGTTCAACTCGACAGTCGAGGCTGATCAGGAAGATTGCAGCCATTTCATTCTTTATTGTGAGTTAACATGTTGTGCTTGGCTCCCTCCATGCCAAGGCACTGACCAACACGATGAAGCATGGAAAGAGTTGAGATGCTCCAATAACCAGTGCATGTCGACAGCCAAGTTCCCATTTTTTGGGAGATTGCAATCATGTTTTGTTTAGACCGAATAATCAAGTAACATGGCCACCCGCCCCGATTTCGGAATCTGGTATCGCAATTGCACACTCTCAGATCGCACCACATTTGGAGGCACCTCACATATATAGGATGGTGTGTCACTGGTCTGGCAGATAACGGGACACCTGGTTGAAATTTGGGGTGTTGTTTGCCTTGCAGAGCGTGGCAGAACCTTTGACAGGGCCGCTGCGTAGCGCAAAGACTGCAGCTTCTCTCCACCGGAAAGATGGACTGGACGTTGCGTTTGTTTCAAGTTCTACTGCATTTCAGAACTGTGGAGTTAAGTTTCCCTAACAATCTAGGAACCAAATCATTGGCGTGAGCTATCCTGCGTCCTAGCCAGGAGCTGACAAGTTTGTCCCTTAAGTAAGTACGCGCAATACAAAAACACAAAGAGTTGTGTTTGCTTTGCATTTCAGTCCTTTTCAGCTGAGAATCTATCATCGGGGTATACAACCGTCTCAGTGAAGCCACCGATACAATCATGGCATTCCGGCCACTGGCAACGGGTGTTGGGGGACGGATCATGCCCGCAAGTATAATTGAAGAGTATTACATGTATGTACATCATATATAGATGTATTTAGATATTGTATTGTATTACACACATGCTTTGCATTCTTGTTGTTCATAGTTTAGTACTTTGGCTTGTCAACCAAACACGCTCAAGCTCATTTGCCCGCGGATCCATGCTGCATGAAACATTTTTTGATTCAGGGCTTTGCAAAGGAGCTGCAGTACACCGTTCAAAAGATCAGGTGACACGCCACAGGTCTTGGCAATTGGTGTCAAGGACACCAGTGCCGATTCAGATTTCCCAAGAGTCTGCTACACTTCTTTGACAGGACGGCTTTGGATCAGATGCCGCGTGCTGCTAGGTTGCAGTCTTGGGCGTTTCAGGCATTTTTAAAGCGTTGAGACGTAGCTGGGGAATTGACCGCTTCCCCAATCTGATGCGTTGGTGTTCGGTCGCATCCAGCCTATGCTTGCACGCAGCATCGTGACTCAGGTGCTGCGTCTTGTGCATGAGTCACTGACGTGACTTCCTGTCTGGATCTTTGGATCAGGAAGGCCGGCAATCTTCCAACTTGACCCGTCCTTTCGCAAGGATTTGGGGTTACATATAGGTTCCTTTCCTCCTGCATGGCTGCACACGTGGTGCCTGGTTAAAGAATAGATGAAGAGTTTGGAGATACAAGTATAAATACAAAGTCAAGAGCTGACCAGATAACCAGCCTTGCAGGCCTTGGAGCATTTTGACCTCATTTTTCTGCCCTTGCGGCGTACACTCGTCAGGTTTCAATTTCCCAAATTGGCCCTGCCAATCTGGCACAAATTTGCCTACTCACCTTTACTCACTTTACTTTTGAAGCGCCATGCTGAACGAAGGATCTGCACTGCGCGTTTAGGTTCCAGTCCAGAGGCCTGTGAGCCCCCCAAAAATCTCCTTCAAAGCATTCGGTATTGAACTCAAAGTCTTGTTCGCAGCATTTATTCAATTGTACTATCTTGCTCCGGAAAATGAACTCTTTTCTGTAAACCGTGGCCAGAACCGTTGCTAAAGACTGTGACTAATGATTGAATATTCGCATGAATTGATGCGTGCGCGTGAACACCCAGGCAAAAACGGTCAACTATGTTTGACAGGGGGCGACAGGGTTGCTGTATGTCTGTCGCGAATGAAGCTCCATACGGTTGACCAGGTACAGTCAGGTTGGGTTAGAATGTTTGCTTTAAAGTAAAGCCCTCTGCGATCCTCTAAGTCCAGACTACATGCACTCCTTTGTTCTATGTTTCCATGTTCCTTTCCCTTTCTGATGTGTGTGAAGAACATCATGAATAAATACGGACTATTGTAATATATGCTTAATTAGGCGTAGAGGCATTCTATGTAAGAATCAGAGATCCTGCTGACTTTGACTGCACGGTTTGGGTCGCGGCTGGAATGAGACTGCTCCTGAAACTGCAGGACGGCCTAATTTGAGACTGAGCTAGGTGCTGCGCCATGTGTGGTGCATTGCTTGAGTTCCGAATTCAGCTTTGCTTCCCACCACCGTCACGCCTTTTGAGATTTGCACTTGGGCCACATACCAGAATCGTGGCTGCATTTAAAGAGAGAGCACTTTGGCTCCTTGCTCCACTTTCGCTCGAGCTTGTAGTGGGAAAAAGGACCATTTCCCCATGCTATTTTGATGGTCGACGAGCTTTCTGCTAGCAATGCGAACACAGAACCTTGGTCCAAAAAAGACATATTATATATAGACATACAGTAGATATTTTGACACTTTGACAAGACACAGAATAATATTGGTCCGTCCGAACTCGCTCAACTGTTCGACCGTAGTAGAAGAGGCGCCTATCACTTGCTGCAGTCATTTCAAGGTCAAAGGCGTGGTATTTGATCAGTCAGAGCACTGACAGACTCTTTTTGCCATGCCGCAAATCCCTTTGACACCCACGATTCTCGTTGTGGGCCTTGCAGCCGCGGGTGGTGCAGCCAGCTTCCAACTCATTTCGATGAGTTTGTTCGTCTTGATTCTCCTCTCTTGTGGTGCCTTGGTGGTGAACCACCCTAAGCATGAACCAGTAGTTGAGACTTTGTCATTGTAGAGCATGTATGCTTGCAAATCCTGCAAGGCATCAGAGAGCATCGCGTCAAGGTGCCGACAACTGTCTTTTCATTCCTTGAGTAAGAAACCTGTATGAGGGAAAGCACCAACCTGCTGCAAATATTGCGTCTTCCTCATCAAATCTCAAGTTGAAGTAGCTTGCATTTTCGATCGACTGCACAAGGTTCATTCCATCGAATCTATTCATTTGACTGCCAAGGTCTTCTGATGGCTTGTGCTGCGGTGGGCCAACGCTCTGTACACTTTCTGGGCCAAGATGAGCAGCTTCTCGTTGAAGGCTTCACTGGGATGGATGTTCACAATGGTCCGGGCACATTTTTCCTGAATCCATTTACACACCGATCAGCAACTATCAGAAAGGCTGAAACTCTCGGGACTATGGATTATGTGAAGGTGCGCCATGTGGTGGAAGGAAAGGAGCGAATAGAGAAAGGACCACAGCTCTTGTTCCTGGCTCCCTACGAGCAGATTGTGGAGCGGTCACAAGGCTTAAGTCACTCGGAAAATGTGGCATTCCTTTTCTGATATGCTGCACTTCATGTCGGCACACAATGTGCCTGGCGCCGAGAATTCACAATGAATTTGTGCTCTATGAAAGGCACCACCCTATGGCCAATCCAAGGTCTTGGAAGTACTGAATACGTGCTTGTCAAGGATATGCTCACTGGCGAGCGCTGTGTCATAAAAGGCCCCTGCATGTGGTTCCCAGGGCCACACGAAGATGCTAAGAGAGGAAATGCAGTCAGCCTGAGCCGCACTGAGTACTTGATCGTGGAGGACTGTGCAGTGACAGCTTTGTGCAGTACACGTAACATTGGCAAGTCGGATGTAAGATGAGAAGGGCACGGGCCGTACATTGTAAACAACCGATTCTCCAATTGTGTTAATAATGTTTAGTTGTGCCGCTGCAGCTGCAGGTTCCAAAATCACCCAACGCAGTGTACCTTGTCTCTTTCCCGCTGTAGGACCAGCTGACTGGTGAAAAGTCGACAGTGAAGGGTCCTATGGTTTGGTTTCCTGGACCCTTTGAACGAAGTGGCAGCAAATTGACTGCAATTGCTCTGCAAGAAGACGAGTACGTCAAGGTCAAAGATACGTCGCATGCTCAGGATGCTGCTTCAAGCTTCAGCTCTCTCACACTCCCACCAACAGGTCAAGTCAAGTGTTCAAGCTGACTGTTGCCTACAATGTTGGTTTGTGGCTGGCAAGATGCAATATGCGTGCATATGAATTCGAGCTGCCACTTGTTGACTCAAAAGACAGATAGAGAGATAGAGTGGCTGGCTGGTCATGACTGAGGTCATCTGGAAAGAAATGGGTGCAAAAGGGGAAGGCCTTGGTGTTTCCAGAGCCGACTTGGCAAGTGGAAGGAGGTGTATGCAAAGCCTGGGTTCCTTGGAGCAAGGGATCAAGCTGTATTTCGACCGGAGCACTGTCAGCTCCAAGCTTTTGCCAACACTTGTGGCATTTGGTTTTGACTGTAGTCTTGTAGTTTCGATGCTTTGATATCCAATCCAAGGCGCTGAAATCCTACGAGTACCTAAGACTCATGAACAAAGTCACCGGAAAGGCACCAATGTTGTCTTGGAGCTGTCAGGTGTCGTCAGTTTGCGTGACTTCCAAAAATCCAGTTTCGCCCTTTGTGATTTGTGGAGGGGGTATACTTTCATCTGCTGCAAAGGTATTCTGTTCCCTTTCTTAGTCGTGGATCTCTGTGCCTTTAGCAGTTTTTGGTGGTATCTGATGGCTTGCGGAGGCCCTCTTGGTGGCTTCCGGTTTTGGCCTTCGGATGCCTTTGGTGGATTTGGTGGCTTCCAGAAGCTTCCTAAAATGCTTTGTGTGTTATTGGGGAAGCGCTGCGCCCTCCCCCAACTACCCTCCTCCCTGCCACAGCATCTGCAAAATACTTGCCAGTTCCTGGCAGCCGCAAAATTTGATGTTTTTGAGCGTGACACCCTGCACCAGCTTTCTTTCTTTCTTTCCTTCCTTCCTTCCTTCCCTCCCTCCCTCCCTCCTTTCCTCTTAGATTTCCTTTCCCACACAAAATATATCAATGAAAGGTCGTGCCAGTTTCTTTCCTTTGCGTCACACCCTTGCACCAGCTTTCTTTCCTTCATTTCTTGCTATCCTTGTTCCCTTTTCATTAACTTTTCTGAAGGAATCCTCATCCAAAAAGAACCGCTCTTCAAGAGAAATCCCGCCGAAACATTTTCGCCCTTGGGGAGGCCCAAGCTGAAGGCCCAGCAGAGTGCACAGTTGAGAAGTCTTGGATGTTGTACTTGCAAACCTACCTAAAGGAGATCTGAAGATATGAACGCAGAGCGGCTTCCTGTAACTATATTTCATATTCAGTCTCGTGTGGCTGTGAAAGAGGAAATGGAGCGTTCGACAGTAAAAGTAGCTAGGAGCAAGTTTCCCTAAAAATCTAGGAACCAAATCATTAGCATGAGCTATCCTGCGTCCATGCTAGTAGCGTACTAATTAGTAGCTACTAGTTACCTCTACTAGCTTACTAGCTACCTCTCTTCTCTTGGCCTACCCCTGGGGTAAAAAGACAAAGGTTTTGTGGAACGCCACTAGCACAATCCAATGCCGGACTTGCAGGTCGAGTCTCATCGTGGGGAGCAAACGGTTTTTCCAGGACCTGATGATGAGCTCTTAGATGGACAGGTGATGCAATTGATTGATCTGAAAGTGCCCTTGATCACAGCAGCCAGAAAGACTTCTTCACTAGAAAAGCTTTTCACAATCTCCCCAACAAGCAAGTGTGCTTCCTTTCACGCCAATTGCTTTACTGTATTTTATCTGAGGTGTTGTTTGGAGTCACACAACCAAGCAAGTCTATGAGTCTTGTTCGTCCCTGAATGCTTAAGCGTGGCAAAGGTCCATGAGTATGTCAAGATCTTGGACCAGTCGACTGGCACAATTCGAGTTGAATCTGGCAGCAATGGAACCAGCAAGCAGGTCTTCCTTGGTCCTCACGACAAGGTGTTGGACAATGGAAAGAAGAAGGCCAGCCTGCATCACCTTACATCACCCCTGTGATAAACTCAAGTAGATTCGATTGCGCAGAGTAAACAATGCCTGAGAATGCCATGGAATAATATGGAATCGGAATAATGCGGAGTTTTGCTGTGTCTCAGCATCATCCAGAGGCAGTCGAAGTTGATGGTGAACACGCAGTGCTGGTTCGCGACAAGAGCTCGGGGCAGGTGCACCTGTATGAAACAAAAGGTGGTTCAATGAAATATGAGTGCCCTATATGCCTATATATATACTATATAACTTAGTTTCAAGCGGGAACCCTGTGGCAGGTGCGGCTGGTCACAGAGAAGCAACTCTTCATTCCTGGCCCAAATGAATCAATTGAGAGACCCAGCAACAAAAACTATGTATATATATAATATATATCCAGATGGATGTAGAGGAAACATAAAAATACCAGTCCCCGGGTATTCCAGAGAGGGGATTCTTCGTCATTCCTTCCCAAAGAGGAGGGAACATAGCAAGCAGAGGGGCTTGTTGGCTCGACGTGATTCAATGGAGTTTGATGCAATATTACACACATGTTTCTATTTTTCGCTTTGTCTTGTGATTTGGAACTCACTGTTCGGACACAGGACTAGAAGCAACATGTGTTCGAAAGGCTAATGTTGACACAGGATTAAGTAACCTCCCCTTCTTAATCAACAACTTCTTCTCTTTTTTGAGCATCGCAATAGCAATACAAGGGCTGCACTAGCCCAGATGTCGTGGAAAAATGGTATCGAGGACCTCGAACTTACGATGTTGCACCGGTGAGCCAAGGAAGGTGCAAGAGTTGATCAAACTGGCTGACCATGAAGCATTGATTGTACGGGCCTCAGAATATGACATGTGCACGAGTCGGAGCAACCAAGACGCATGCATACCTGGCAAACCTGCAAAGAGGCAATAATAAAACACATCAAATAATTCAAAGTATACTGTACTACATCGGCGAAAAAGTCGGCCAAAGATGAACGTGGTATAGACATGCACTGGCAAACTTATATGACCCTATTTGTTTGTTTTCAGTTTTCAATTTTTCCCTCAAAATTTAGGAACCAAACGAATAGTGCGAGCGTGAGCTATCCTGCGTCCAGTTACTAGAAGCTACCTAGCTACTACTAGCTACCTCTAGCTACTACCTATCTCGGCCTACCCCCCTTTAAAAGACGGTTGTGACTGCCTCATGAGTTTTGTCGAAGGTCTTTCTGCATTTGCTGTGCTTTAGTTCCAAGCTTTCAAGCAACTGGATATAACCGGATGACAACCCCACAACCGCTTCAGAGACCCAAAACAGGAATACGACAAGCTATGCTAGAAGACCTCACACGACTTTCAGAAGAGGTGCCAAAGCTGGAGAGGAGTCTAGACGAAAGGAGCGGAACAAATCACAAACAAAGGCTTTTGTGCTCAAGTTGAGAAAGGCCAAGACGCCTCATTTTCATCCTCCTCCAACAATGATGAGTCGAGCAGTGATTAATGCAAAAACGGAAGGCCGGATGATATTTCTTTAAAGATTATTTGAGTACATTCAGCAATGTTGCTTCAACAGAACTCACCATTGGCAGGGCCATTGCAATTCCACAGTTAGGGGAGGTGCAAAGTGGCACCAAGCTCGTTGGAAAAGGGTATCCAAACACATTTCAAGCTGGGCTCCATAAACTGGACAGGGAATTTTCCTGAGATTTGTTTATTGCCAACAAGAACTCCAGCCAAGGTGAAAAACAAGCAAGGCGAGTTCCAATACTTCTACGGTAGTGATGAAAAAAGACCAGCAGGACAGCCGCGTTGCATCAGTGAGATGCAGATTTGCTATGATTTGCTCCACAGACATCCGTAGTGTATGGGAAAGAAACATTATATTATCATATGTGGCAGCTTTGGTGCTTGCGTTATAGTATATAACCTTGTTACTAGTATATAGCTTCTAGCTACTAGTAGCGATGCACTTGTTACTAGTAGCGATGCACTTGCTACAAGTAGACCAGGACAGCCACGTGCCTTTTTCTTGGAACCTTATGCCGAAATTGTCAAGCTCTGCTGGAGCAAGGGCCGGCGCAGAGAGACTCGAAACCTGTTCATCGAGCGATTTGATTGTAGAGCTCAGTTCATGTCCTTCGACTCCTGGCTGCAGAGCAAACAAGTAGCTTCTAGCTAGCTACTAATAATGGTAATGCCCTCTTGTTACTAGTAGGGATGCCTTTGTTACTAGTAGCCTCTAGCTACTAATAGTAATGCACTTGTTACCAGTAGCTTCTAGCTACTAATAGTAATGCCCTTGTTACTAGTAGCGATGCCCTTGTTACTAGTCGCTTCTAGCTACTAATAGTAATGCCCTTGTTACCAGTAGCTTCTAGCTACTAATAGTATTGCCCTTGAGACTAGTACCGATGCCCTTGTTACTATATAGTAGCTTCTAGCTACTAATAGTAATGCCCCTGTTACTAGTAGTGATGCCCTTGTTACTAGTAGCTTCTAGCTACTAATAGTAATGCCCTTGTTACTAGTAGCGATGCCCTTGTTACTAGTAGCTTCTAGCTACTAATAGTAATGCCTGCGTTACTAGTAGGGATGCCCTTGTTACTAGTAGCTTCTAGCTACTAATAGTAATGCCCTTGTTAGTAGTAGCGATGCCCTTGTTACTAGTAGCTTCTAGCTACTAATAGTAATGCCCTTGTTACTAGTAGCGATGCCCTTGTTACTAGTAGCTTCTAGCTACTAATAGTAATGCCCTTGTTACTAGTAGCTTCTAGCTACTAATGGTAATGCTCTTGTTACTAGTAGCGATGCCCTTGTTACTAGTAGCTTCTAGCTACTGTAAGTAATGTCCTTGTCACTAGTAGCGATGCCCTTGTTACTAGTAGCTTCTACCTACTACTAGTAATGTCCTTGCTACTAGTAGCAATGCCCTGTGTTACTAGGAGCTTCTAGCTACTAATAGTCATGCCCTTGTTACCAGTAGCGATGGCCTTGTTACTAGTAGCTTGTAGCTACTGATAGTAATGCCCTTGTTACTAGTATCAATGCCCTTGTTGCTAGTAGCTTCTAGCTGCTTGTAGTAAGGCCCTTGTTACTAGTAGCGATGCCCTTGTTACTAGTTGCTCCTAGCTACTAATGGCAATGCACTTGTTACTAGTAGCGATGCCCCTGTTAGTAGCTTCTAGCTATAATTTCATAGTAATGCGTTTGTTACTAGTAGCTTCTAGCTACTAATAGTAATGCGCTTGTTACTAGTAGCTTCTAGCTACCAATAGTATTGCCCTTGATACTAGTAGCGATGCCCTGGTTACTAGTAGCTTCTAGCTCCTAGTAGTCATGCCCGTACTAGTAGCGTTGCCCTTGTTACCAGTAGCTTCTAGCTACTAATAGAATTGCCCTTGTTACTAGTAGCGCTGCCCTTGTTACTAGTAGCTTCTAGCTACTAATGGTACTGCCCTTGTTACTAGTAGCGATGCTCTTGTTACTAGTAGCTTCTAGCTACGAATAGTAATGCCCTTGTTACTGGTAGCTTCTAGCTACTAATAGTAATGCCCTTGTTACTAGTAGCGATGCCCTTGTTACTAGTAGCTTGTAGCTACTAGTAGTAAAGCGTTTGTTTTTTGCTGCCGTGCCCTTGTTGCTAGTAGCTTGTAGCTCCTAGTAGTAATGCCCCTGTTACTAGTAGCTTCTAGCTACCAATAGTAATGCTCTTGTTACTAGTAGCGATGCCCTTGTTTCTAGTAGCGATGCCTTTGTTGCTAGGAGCGTCTAGCTACTAATAGTAATGCATTGTTACTAATAGCGATGCCCTTGTTACTAGTAGCTTCTAGCTACTAATAGTATCTAATAGTAATGCCCTTGTTACTAGTAGCTACTAGTAGTAATGCCCTTGTTACTAGTAGCGATGCCCTTGTTACTAGTAGTTTCTACCTACTATTAGTCATGCCCTTGTTACTAGTAGCGGTGCCCCCGTTACTGGTAGCTTGTAGCTACAAATAGTAATGCCATTGTTACTACTAGCGATGCCCTTGTTACCAGTAGCTTCTAGCTACTATTAGTAATGCGCTTGTTAGTAGTAGCGATGCCCTAGTAGCGATGCCCTTGTTACTAGTAGCTTCTAGCTACTAATTAATAGTAATACCTTGTCACCAGTAGCGATGCCCTTGTTACTAGTAGCTTCTAGCTACTAATGGTAATGCCCTTGTTACTAGTAGCTTTTAGCTACAAAGAGATACAATAGCCTTGGTTTGCTCAAGTTTGCTCCCAGCTGCACGGTCTGACAGTCTGACAGTTCGTTTCCACTGTCTTCATGAATTTTTGTTGCAGGGAGGAGGTCTGAACATATTAGCTCTTTTTGGAAAAGGTGTACTTCAAGTGTCCTTGTTTGGGAATGCGTAACAACTTGTAGGAGTTCAATTGCAGAACATCCGACAACGTGGAGCTCATCCTTGAGGGGACCTTCTTCTGGGAGGTTGTTGATCTTCCAGCAATGGTGAAAAGCACAGGCGACACCTCTGGCGACCTTTGCAATCATGCAAGGTCGCAGTTCATTCGACACGTGGCCCGTGTCACATTAAAAGAGTTTATGGACAGCTCGCACTCGATCGCCAAGAAGGTCTGGGAGGCGCAGTTCCGTAGACGGCTTCATGTTTCGAACAAGAGCGGATTTGTGTCCCGATGAGCTATGAGCCAAGCTGCAGGAAGACACGGGCTTCTATGCTTCAAGAGGGGTGAAGATCCATTCACTGGAAGTAACTCGCTATCAATGTGCCGACTCCAGAACTTCTGAAATTCTGGAACAGATCATTCAGGACGGGCTTTAGGTTGGGAGGCTATCTTTTACTTGTCACATTGAGCTTGGCTGACTCATGTTTTTCTTTTGCGATTTCCATTTGAGAGGCTTGAATTTGAGAAAGAATGCCACGTATCAATTTTGCCTGCCTAGGAGACGACCAACCGAATGAACCGTCTTTCACAAGCTGAGAGTGAAAACGAGGTGCTCTGCCTGTGCTGTCCACCTCAGACTGACGGCGGTTTGCCCATGAATGCCAGGTTAGTCTTTTCCGGACACAAGGGCAGATTGAGCAAGAGCGCTTGAACGGAGACCTTCTAGCCAATGACTCAGAAGAGGGCCATTCTTTGATTGGAACGCTCAGCTTTTTTGCAAGACTTCCATAGTGCACTGTCAAAAATTTGGCCAATGAGCCAAGGCCATCAAGCACCAGCATTCGGAGGCTGAGGCAGAAGTCGTTGGAAGAGCCGAAGCCAACAAAGTGGCAGCATTCATTGCAGGCCTTGAAGCCAAGGTGCACAGCATATCCACAATGGTACAACAGGGCCAACATTGTGTCGCGGAACACCTGTTGGTGGTTTGGTCTCCAACTGACCCGGTGCGTGTGTATCACCAAAGATCCTGTATTCTTGAAATTTATTGCTGTTTTGTTCTTGTTGCGCTCGTATCATCTCGAGTTCCCATGAATTCCCGAGATATTGGAGCATTATGTACATGTCTATTTTTTGTACATCTCGGTAACCTTCAGCAACACAGGCAACAGCCTGCCGTTCTTTAGATTTGTCTCTTTGTCGACCTTCTATGCTTTTGGAATGGAGGTGCCCAAGCTGGAGGACCGCATGGCGCTGTGGCAGGTCCTGCGGAAGAATGAAGCCTTGAGTGCCATTTCCGAAGGCTGAGAATTCATTTTGCCGATCAATTCCGCACATAACTTTTGTCCCTTGCCTTTTGCTGAACAGTCAATGAGGACTTGACACACTGGCGACAATCTAGCAAATAATTTTTCTGACTTGTCATCGTTGGGCACGCTCCAGCCGCTGGGTTTACCTTGCTTGTGACTTTTGTGGACAAAGATCTGCAGGCAATGCAAGCCTCTACTACACACCTTCAGATGTGGACCTGTCGATTGAGGCCAAAAGATAGGCTTTGGGTCAGAGCAGTTTGCACATTTCAATTTTCAGAGACCTGACCGGAGATTGGTGTCTACAAAAGAAGATGGGTACCTAATACCCAAACCAGAAAGAGCAGGGCATGTCTGAGTTCTTTTGCTTCTCCACCCAAGCGGCGTTTACGCATCCCCAAGATTGCTGGCGGGCAAACAACTCTTGCTCTCGGTGGGATGAGTATATTAAACCAATACTTTCAAATAAATAGAACACATATCTAGCTGCTTTACGCTGCGTACTACATTTGTGGACGCTAATCACCTTGCACTGGCTTGGCGTCCGCGGGGTTTGTTGGCGAGCGGCTCCATGTGAATGTGGCAGTCCGCTGCCTCACCCTAGCGGCGCATTCTGTGCTGTTCAGAGCTCTGAATTTCAATGCCTTAGAATGCCTTAGCTGGTATTTTAAAGATTTTGCAGCTACTTCCGGGGTTGCCTCAGCTCTGTTTCAGTATTTCAATCACCAGGCTGACGAACAACTGTTGGTATAGCACGGCATGGCAAACCCTGGTTCTTATGATCTTCTATGCTTCAGTTCAGCAAGCTGAAGGGCTTGGAGGGTGTTCCACATTCGCCATTTGCTTGTGACCCACTCGGAGGATTCATAGAGAAAGGCTTTAAAGATAAGTTTCTCCAGTTCGGGTCACCAACACATGGTGTCTCACGTGGACGTTGTATGGCGTCTCAAGTCTCAGCTTCCCCACCGTGTACAGTCTTGGTGACTTCGGGCTGAAAAGAGATGTTCTAAGACATATATTGTACACTTGTCTACTGAGCATGAGGGTAACAGTGGTGACACTTCTACTTTACATCGGCGCTGTGCTGAGTGCTGCACACACCTGACTCTTGTGCTTCCCTTACCTCTTGGCAGGACAAGTCTCGCACAAGACCTTTGTGAGAGCAGAATTCAAGCGTGGCTTTAATGCCACAGTCATGAGCTACTAGTAACAAGGGCATCGCTACTAGTAGCAAGGGCATCGCTGCATCGCATCGCTACTAGTCACGAATACTAATTGGCGCAGTAGGGTGCTGCCGAACGGTGCTGCCGGAGGCTCCGCTGCGGAAGCAACGGTCAAGAAGCGATCCCAATAAGAAGGTTGTACCCACGAGGAACTAAGGATGCTTCGCACGCGAAGTCTGTTTGCAACCAATGAAGTCTCTACTCTAGAGAGGAATTTCGGAACGTCAGTTCAAGATGCAGCTGCCAGTGAGGGATAGAATCCGATATGAAGAGGTTGCACAAAGATCCAAACACAAAAACACATGATGGAAGTCTTGTCCAGGAAGGGCATTGGTTTGACTGCTTGATGCAGCTACTTGGCACGAGCCTGTTGCAACATGGAGAATGCTTACAGTAGACTTTTTCCATTCAAGAACCCCTGATGTTTTGTCCCCCCTTCCCGATTCGCACACCGCGTTTCCGACCTAAATCATGAGACTTTTTCTATTGCCCAACATGCAATAAGCTAGGGTCCGCCATGGAATCAGCCACGCAGAATGGCGATGTCCTGGCCTCAGATCGGACACGACGTCCTCTCAGATGTTTCTTGAAAGGGAGCGCACAGTTAAACGCATGATGCAAGAAGCTTTCATAAGCAATTTTCACCGAGGTACCCTGGAGTTCACGAAGCAGGCAGCTGGGGCAGTGATGCAATCTCTCTCCGTTCAGGATTAGAATAGTTTTTTGATGTTTGTTGCATTTGAGAAGACAAACATCCTGGGTCATTACACGGGACATGGTTTCGGGGGTCCAGGTTTTGACCCACAGCCAGCTATTTAGTCTCAAGTGGCTCTACTTCAGCTTCAGGATGCAATTTGTGTTTGCTCTTAGGACTGTAGACTTGAATGGCCAAGGGGCAAGGTCTAAATATGTAGGATGTCAATGGATGTCAGGAGGTCAAAGAGCGCCAGGTTTTCTTGGGGCGATTTCGTCCCCCTCAACAATCTTGGCGAAGGATGTTTGCCTCTCAGTACCAGTCTGATATCCCATGAGATTGAGATGCATGAGCCATTACAGTATTGGCGAGTCAGTATCAAGTATTGGCGAGTCAGTGAAGAAGGTTTCTTGCATTTTCTCCATACAAGATTGACAGTGACAGCTTTGTCTGTCAGGGAACAGATGCAGCTCCAATCCTTTTCTGGAACCGTCTCGTACAGCTAGTTTGAGGGAGCTTAGGCATCTATGGCCTCTGACAAAAGCTTTGACTTTCTCAGGTATGGGCCTTGTCAAGAAGGTCATGCATCGAACTTCTGGAGAAGCGACTTGGATCTGGAAAGAATAGGTGAGACTGCTCACTGTATTTTTTGAAATCAATTCAGTCAAGTCCTCTGGTTTGAGGTCTATGCATTGAAAGCTGTGGACAAGAAGCGGGTCATGGACAGCCGCGTCCAAATCAGCCACAGCCCAGACTGACCTCCCCTTCTTGTTCTCTCCCCGTTGCTCTCCCTCTCTCTCTCTCTCTGTCTTTTTCTATTTGAGCTACGGTCAAAACATGCGAAGACCACTTTAGTAAAGAGGGGTAGGTTTGTGCACAAAACCCTGCAGAACGATAAGGTCCACCTCAAAACCGATAATAACCCCAGCGCTGTATATAACCATAAGTACGCGCGAACCCAAAACACTGTAAAACGCTAAGGTCCAATTCAACACCGATGACGTCCATGTTTTGGTTGAATAAGAATAAGGAGTGTTGACGGTTCCTCATATATATATATAATACAATATAATATAGTATAATATAATATAATGTAATATAATATAATGTAATATAATATAGTAATATATATATATATATATGTGAAGCTCTTGATAAGGTTGAGTCATGCTTGTTTCAATCATTGCCATGTCGAAGCCGACAGGATCATAAGCTGCAGGACCAGCTGGTGGCTGAAGACCCTGCCCAAGTTGCCAAAGTTCTATTGTGTTTTTTGTTCTAATGTGGCAACTATTACTGTATCTCATTCTTAAAGACATGGATTGTACTTGGTAATGCCACTGGTTGTGACATCAAGTCAAGTTCGACAGCCATCCTTCTGAATTCTTGGGTCTTGCTGAGGTAACTACTCAGATGAAGTTGTCGCATCCTAACATTTTGAGGTGCAAGGTTTTTAACCTAAATTTGAGCTGGCAATAGCCAGTTTTCTTTACGCATACTGTATCTGGTTCTCAGCCAAGAATATGTGCAGGTGCTTTGACTGCTTCGTAGAGGCTGACATGGCATGGAACCCAGCATCATCATGAGCTTTGTCGTGACCTTCACCTTGTCCAGTGACTTCATTCATATTCATTCCATCAGGTCTACATTGTCTTGGAGCTGGCTTCTGGCGGCGATTTATATCAGTGAGGTCCCCACAAGCCTTTGCTTAAGTTGGCTGGCTGGCTGGCTGGCTCTGGAGAACTAATTCAATCTACCCAAGTCTCCCCCAACGAATCGGTTATTCGTCTATTCTTTTTTTGGGGGGGTCCCCCGTCGTTTTGGCTGCCTTCAGCAAATAGGACCTGGACATAGAAGAAGTGTCGGATGTTCTGAGGCTGATGAAGAGACACGGTCCGCTGAGGGAGTCGGATGCTGCTTATGTTTTCATGCAGGCTCATGCTGCGGGTCTATGGATTTGGCAGACATTCGCATGTCTTTAGACTGAGATCATTGACAGATGCTTTTCACCTTTGCAAAGTCGCAGGTCTGCGAAGGTGTCAAGTACTTGCATGAGAATGGGCTGCAGCCACAGTTGCCTCGCATTTGCTGGAAAGCAAAGGCTTGAACGCCTCTACTTTCTGCAAACACATGTGAAAGTTGCGCCACAAGCAAATAGAGTCATCATAAGAAGCAAAACAAAAGCTGTCTAAAAGCTGTCCATCTAACAAACAAACCAAGGAATCTCCGTCAAAAAACTAACATGAATTTCTTGACGATAATGGTGCAGTCAGGATCATACATCGCGATCTCAAGCCCGAGAATGTCTTACTCGCTGGGGCAATTTGGCAAGAAAACATGTGCTGGAGATTTTTGTGCAAGCATCTTGACATACCTGCAAAAGCTGAGGACAACTTGACAGTGAAGATTGCAGACTTTGGTTGGGCAGCAAAGGCTGAGTGGGTGGTTGCACACGTATGACACGTGCTCACTTGAATAGCATCTAACATGCAATACTGGCATATCATACAGGCCATGCAGAACGACACGCGCAACACCTTCTGTGGAACTCTGTGCATGCTTGCGTGTTGGTCTCAGAGGTTGCTTGCTTGGCACAGCTTCAGTAAACAGCGAAATCCAATTTAAAGCTGGTCATCGTGCATCTTTGTAGCACTGGTGTTGGCTTGATAGCAGTGTGCCATGGGCTTTAACACGCCAATGCAAGAGGGTTCCCCCCAAAAGACAACTAGTGGATGTCTCAGAGTCCAACAGACGATCCCTCTACAGTATTCCGTGCGGCGGCGTAGGTTCCGAGAGAGCCGTTCGTTTGACCACCCAACCTATTTGGCTTTGGTCATGTCATGGCGTCAAGAGGTATTTTTCATCTACCATGTATCCACAGCGTCTATCATTCTCAATGCTTTTCTTCAAACCGATCGACGAGAGGAATCCAAGCTACAACCTCCAATGCGATAGCAGAACATGTAGATTACCATGGATGCACTTGCAGACGTAAACGTCAGCATATCAGCGAGAATTGGGACCTTTTTGATCCCGAACATCTTGAGGACCACACCCAACACTCTTGTCAGCACATCATGAGTCTCAGCATTTGCAGGTTGAAGTAGGGTGTTTGCCATGGGTATTGAAGACGGCGGGAAGCGAAACTTTACATACATTTGACCCTTTCAAGAAAGCTTGCGAGTCTTGTGCTGGAAGATGTGAATGAGAGTGCAGGTTCTTGGATACCTTGGATATCAGATGTTATCAGAGAACATGTTGTTTGTCAAAAGGTGTCAAAAAGTCCAAAACACTTTGGCGTAACTGAGACATGAAATCCCCAACAGTATCCAAACGAAATGAGCCGAGCTGCAGTCCACATACTAGGTCAATCCAAGAGTTGAAAAGACATGCATCAGTGTATCAGATGAGCCTTTCTGAGCCTTTGTTAACAGAAAAAGCAACTCATAAAATTTCCGTGAATCTTGAGATGCTGGCTGACCGGCTGAGGCCAGAGATCATTGCTGGCAAAGCCTACGACGCCAAAGTTGATGCCTGGCACTTGCAAACTTGTGATCTTGCTTGCGGCTTTGTAGTGGAGAAAGAAGTCTTGTGGTCTTGCATGCGCTGAGGTGTGGGCGGTTGGGGTCGCACTCTTAATCCGAACCACTTTTGGACTTGCCCTTGACAGAAGGAGAGAGGCAAGAGAGTGACGACAACCAACCGCTCAACTGCGAACTTTGTCACCCTTGAGGTCCTTCTGTTCGAGATGCTTATGGGCCAGTCTCCTTTCGACAAAGGAAAAGGTCTGATGGAAACCTGCAAGTAGCACACTGAGAGCGGACTTGGCGTTGTGCGACGGCAAGACTACCAGGTAGTTGCACATTCCAGAAAATAGGAAATGGCATGAAATGACTTTGATTGACCTTACTTAAGCAGCCAGTCACTGTGAGTCTGCAGAGATGGCATGATGAGAGAATCAGTCAATTACGGGACTCTCAACACTAGGGACACCCCGAGGACAAGTGTTTGAACATTCATATCCGGTATCGAATTGGTTTTAGAACTCCCGCCCTGACAAATGTAAATCCTTAAATTTTACTGCCCCCACACTGACAGTAATCCATAGACTTGGAGGCTGTTGACTGTTGACTGTCAACTTGCCTTTCACTAAGGGCAATCGTGGGGCCAGGATTGAGCGCTGTCTCGCTAGAAGAGGCGACCTTCAGAATACCAGAAGTGTGACATGAAAAATCATCAACAACAGTTCAAGAGCAACATCAGCCAACCATGTTCGATAGCATGTTTTGCTAAAGTCCAGGCTCCATTGGCAGTGCATCCACTATTGCATGGGCTCATGCACCAGCAACCAGAGAAGCGCATTTCGCCACCTGCCTGACGAGGTATAGTAGTGCAGGGTTTATCAAAGGCCCCAAAGACTCAGAGATGTTTTGCCATGCAAAGTCAGTTGAAAGATATACTAAATATATATATACACATATTCAGTACAATACTCTTCATCACTCTCCTTTGTGCGCGGCAGAAAGACAGAGTGAGATAACACGAGAAGAGCCTGAGATTGCTTAAACCCAGAATGGCACCGTTTTGACGTTTGCATGTCTGAGTGGATCAGATTTGCCAAGCGCTTGAGGTTAGAAGAATGTCTTTCATCGACCTGGGCACGGCTCCCCAGTGCCAGCCTGGTTGAGTCATGTACATGAGTAACTGCACTAATAGTAATGCACTCAGCTACTAGTAGCTTCTTGTTACTAGTAGCAATACACTTGTTACTAGTAGCGATGCACTTGTTAACTTCTAGTAGCTTCTTGCTACTACTCATGGAATCCTTTTCATGTTTATTGTTTGACTGTGTGAATCGCAAGTGCTGGTTCCGCACATGTATTCCAGCACCTCAACTTCAAGACATGCATAATTTGTTTACACGATGCACAATCACAGCCGTGATAATCAAAACCTGACTAGCCTGCTTACCAATCCAATTGCATTGCCTACGTTTTCTTGCACCCAACAGTGAAGGTCTAGCCGAGATGGGACTTTGGAGTTCCCTCCCATCACTTGATCATGCGGCAAATGCCATCTGGCTCTCAACGCCCCAGAACATGTTCTGAAACGAGGGACATGATGACTCCCTGGACCAAAGGGCACAGTGAGAGAGAAAGCGCAGCATTGTTTCATTGATATTTGATATTGCTGGCAAGGAGGCAAGGATAGCTCTAGGGGCCAATTTCCTCTCATCCGTAGAAGTATTGGTCTTGGCCATAATGAGCATCCGATAGACGCCCAAAAAAGAAACACACACACATGTGAATCCAGTGGAGTCGGAAGGCAGGGTTCCTTCGAATGTGTCCCATCGCAATGACGATGGCTCAAGGCACCGGCAGGCAGGCAAATGGAAAAGGCGTGGCCGCCTAGCAGGAAAGGTTTTGACTAGGTAGCTAGGATAAGATCCTTGGAAGGATTCGTTACCAGTGGGACTGCATAGCAGTCACATTGGTAGCGGAGCCGGAAGGGGCCCGTAGAGTAGGATCTCACGGAAAGCCATGGCTGAACCTTCAAGTGGAGATACAAAAGGGTCTGGTTTTTGGACATTGTTGCCCACCTTTGGTCCAGCGACCGATGACGTGAAAGAGTATGTCTCCAAGGTGAAGTTTTTGGCTGGGATATGCCCCAAGGAAAATCGAGGAATGCTGGCACCAAGGTTAGCGTTGCAATGCAGAGGAACTGCATGGCATCAAGTGCGAGCCATCAAGCCAGACAGAGCTCCTGACTGATCCCGAACACGGGATAACCCATCTGCTTTCCGCCCTTTCGACTTGGGAGGAATTGGCAGAGTTGAAATCGTTCGAATTCTTCGATCGTGCCATCTACAAGACGACCCAGAAAAGCGACGAGTCTGCACAATCTTTTGTGAATAGACTACAGGTGGCATTCGAAGAACTTGGGCCAGATACAACAATCAAGTCGGTCAAGGCCTTCGTATTGTTGAAACAAAGCTCATTGAGCAGTGATGACAAAAAGAAAATATTGACAATGACCTCAGGTGTTCTGGAAGTGGGTGCAGTGGAGAACGCAATGAGGAGCCTTTCAACCAATGTTTTGCTAGGAGCCGGCATTGGAGAAAAGAAGAAAGTTTATCCAACAAACTACATCGAGCCCGAGGAGGATGCAAACAATGCAACAGAGTTTCAACCGGAATCCGGCCATGCATACATGGCATATTCAGAAGAGGATGACATTACAACAGAAGCAGTGGATCAGTTGTTGGCTATGGGGGACGCTGACGCTCTCCTGATCCAGTCCTTCGAGAAAGACTTAGAAGACATGTTTCAGGAAATCCCTGACCTACAGCATGCTCTCATCTCCTATCAGGAGGCCCGTGGGAGAATCTGAGAAAAGCATCGGAGCAGGGGATTCTGGCCCGTGAAGGGTGGAAGCAAGTCTGGAAAAGGTCTGGGATTCGGAGGAAAGGGATTCCGAAAAGGTCGAGGCAAACAAGAACTCATGGAACGGATCTCAAGAACACACTGCAAACTATGTGGAGAAAAAGGGCACTGGAAGGCAGAATGCCCTCGTCGAAGTCAGGAACCAGCTCAAGCCAACTACGTGACTGAGCCCGCAGGAGAAGATCTGACCGACCATGATGATCAAGTCCAATTCAAAGTCATTGAGAGCCAGGACCTGAAACAAACGCAAACATCGGACGAAAGCAAATCAGAAGAGATTGAATGCAATTCGATCGAGCCGGAAATCTACTTGCCCAATCCGAAAAGCAGCAATATTTCGTTCGCTTTGCGTACAAGCATAATAGGTAAGAAGTCCATACAAGATAAGATAAGTAAAAGAATGAATGAGAGCAAGATCGTGCAAAACATTCGCAGGTTGAAGCCGAATGCACAAGCAAGTCAGCCTCGAGATCCTCCGATCTTTCAAGGCTGCGCCAATAGCATCGTGGCCGAAGATCCTGTTATCGGCATAGACAATGTTCCTGCCTTTTTGAACTCGCTACCAACCGGCGCGCAATCGAGTGAAAGAGAAGCCAAGTCGCATTGGATTTCGATTCGGCAACAATCAAATCGAGTATAGCTCCAAACAGCTTCGTATCCCAATAGATTGTGATGCGCTCCGAATTTGGTTGGTAATAGAAGTTGTTCCAAAGGCAACCCCATTCCTGCTTTCGATACACGCCATGAAGAAGCTAGGAGCTGTGATTGATTTAGCTAGAGGAACATGTGTCTTGCAAAAGGTGAACAAGTCAATAAAGGTCATGGAAGTACAAAACCGGCCTTTTACATGTGCACATATCAGATTTGTGTCAAGACGCACAGTTTTTGCACACACCTGCTGTCACCATGCAAGCTTTTCACACCTCAAGTGAAACCAAACTGGCTGAACGCACCGCGATTCGAGCGCCAGTTGACCATGCCGACTCGGGGAGAAGTGATGAACATGGTTCGACAGATCGCCGATTCGATCATGCAATCACTCAAGATTCTGCTGACGATTCTCATGAACCAGGCAGCAACTCAGGTATCCGACCAACAGGTACCTACGGAACATGCCCATCAGATGAATCAGCTGACCATCGAAGTGAACAATCAGCGACAACGGATCGAAGAGATTGCAGAGATGCTGAAGCAGAGTGGAAGTGTGTCCCCTTCCGCAAAAGGGGGAACCCAAGTAAACACGGAGCAGGGATCATCGAGTTTCCACCTGGACTCGGAGGAAGATTTCGAATTCTGGACACAGGAGATGATGATTGCGCAGACGACTGGACCAAGGACACCACCACCAAGCAGGAGCACTCAAGCAGCTCTGATGCAAGCTTTGAGTTCGGCAGCAAAGAACGAAGCCAGGCCAAAGACAGTTCCATCTATCAAAGGGCTGGCAAACATGTCAAGTGGAACCACTGGAAGCCCATCGAAGACACCTCCAGGGACGGCAGCACCCATTCTGGTCTCCGCAGCGGCAATGAGCTCTCTGACAATGCCGCAAGTGCCCGAGGATGTCATGCCCTCAAGTCCACAAGGAATGGACCTAGCGTGGACTCAAGCAGCTCTCAACCGGAAACAAGAGAGTGACGTGGGGCAAGAAACACACTGGAAAACTCTACCACGAGGTCTACGAGAACGACCAGGGATATGTCCAGTGGTGCATGCAACGATCGCTCGATCAGCGCATTCTAGATTTTGCCAGGTATTGCCAAACAAGGCTAACCATGGAAGAGCACATTCGAGCAAACTAGAAAGTCAAGCCGAGCGGGAGCAGTTTTTCGTTAGTCAACTGATTAACGTCGAAAACGAACATGAACCAAAATGGATGATGGCATGCAAAGAACAGTTAAACATGGTAGTGCTTCTGAACAAATTGATATGCTTGAAGTATATGCGCAACCAAATAGTAGAATAGTTGAAGAAGTCATCAAGCAAGGGGGGGAAAGCCGATCGTTTCACTATGCAACATGGAGATCTTTCAACATTCGAAGGACAAGTTGATTAGGAAACGACCTAAGAACATATGGATGGCCCCCGAATGTCACCCATGGTGTGCGTGGAATAGACTCATAGCATCAAAAAGCACAAAGCAGTACATGACCATCCAAAGGTCTAGAAAAGATTCACTGGTTCATTTGCAGTTGTGCTCTTTCATTTGCAAGCTGCAAGTTGATGCTGGCCGACATTTTCACTTGGAGAACCCAGGCGCATCAGACCTGTGGAAGCAGGCACAAATTCAATCGTTGATTCGAATGGCCAAGTCCATTCACCTGGACCAATGTCGATTTGGTTTGGTTCACCCAGAGGATTCAAGACCCCTGAAGAAATACACTCGTGTTCAAACCACATCGAATAGCATGGTAAGAAACTTAGACGGAAGAGTTTGTGAAAAGAATCATGTGCATGCTCAGATTGCAGGTTCTTGCCAATTCCAAGGAAATAGGATTGCTCTTTCCAGATTCGCTGCTTTCTATCCCCGGATGTTAGCTAAAGCAATAGCAAAGGTAGCGCTCAATGAAGTCCAGCCGTCAGCAATTCCGATGTATCCTGTTGAAGAAGTCCTGGAACCACAAGCCAAAAGGGTTCGCGCGCAGTCACCACGAGTTGTCGCAGGCCAGGACACCAGTCAAAAAAGAGAACATGAAGAAGGAGAAGAGAAAGAAAGCAATGAAGAACTAACAGATGAACTATGGAAAGGAATTTTCGAATGGTGTCAAAATCACTTGCCGAAACCAGGAGCTCAGGATTTGTCCATTGAATCTTGGGTAGGTCAAGCAATATGTCTGCAAACAACTATTCCGCATGTGAAACAGATCAGAGCAGGAAAAGGGTTTGACAAGTTCTTGATTGGAAACAATGAACATCCCATTCGACAAACTGTTTGCGTGTGTAGAAAAACAATTAAATAGTGAACCTCGGTGAAGAACATTGGCAGAAACAGAGAAGGAACGCCATTCCAAGTCATATCATGATTGCAATATTCGGAACAACCGAATCGGAGAAAGCAGACAATTCGACCCACCAAGAAGTTTTGAAGCCAAGCACCGTGCCTGTGTCGCCGAAGTCCAAGAAAGAAATTGCAGTTCCAGAAAGTTCGGAAAGGGAGACAGCAATGTCACCCACTCCGGATTTGCCAGTTCCCGCATGGACACCGCAAGCTGTCAGCAATTCGGGATCGAAATTCGAGCAGCTGCAAGCCTTCCAAAAGACACTGATTCGTAGAACTTATAATTATCTAGGTCATCCTACTTCGCAGAAGCTGTCAGAGCATTTGAGGAGAGCAGGTATGTCTAGTGAACTAGTGGAAGGAGCTGCCGAATATCAATGTCCGTCATGCACCGAAAGGGTTCCACCAAAGCTTACTACACCAGGTAAGTTAAAGGAAGCTAGAGAGTTTAATGGCAGGATCTCCATCGATGGTTTTGAATGGAAAAATGAAAAAGGACTCAAAATGTATGTGATCCACATTTTCGATGAAACCACTCATTACCATTTGGGGAAAAGAATCAATCGATCAGCTGAACCCACAGAAAAAGCAATGTACGAAAATTGGTTTAGCTGGGCCGGACCACCAAATGAAATATGTCATGATGAAGGGGGAGAATTCATGAGCCAAAGGTGGAAAGACATGTTACAAAGAGAGGGAATCAAACCAACTGTTAGCGCAGCACCATGGCAGAGGGGAAGAATTGAAAGACGTGGAGCAGTCATCAAAGAAATGTTGAACCGAATCAACAATGAAAAAGAAATCGAAACAAATGCAGACTTCGATTATGCTCTGTATCAATGCTTCCAAGCCAAAAACTCCATGAGTGTAAGTAACGGCTACAGTCCTGAACAAGCAGTATTCGGTCGAGCAAGACGTTTGCCAGGGTCGATATGCGATGATGAAGATAGTATAACGCACTCCCTAGATAATCCAGAAGATACCCGATCTAAGGGTTTCCAGGAACGAATGCAAATTCGTACCCTTGCAAGAAAAGCACTGCTCGATGCCGACAACAGCCAAGCAATTCGAAGAGCGATGCTTCGACAATCCCGAGGACATGAACATGACTGGCAAATAGGAGAACTATGCATGATTTGGGATAAAAGGAAGTCACCCAGCATGATTGAAAAAGGGAGACGGGCAGGACCTTGTCAAGTAATTATGCATGAGGGTAGAACGATCATTTGGGTTACACAAATGAATCGCCTTCTCAGAGTTGCCAGAGAAAACATGCGACCAGTGTCCTTGAGGGAATTCCAATCCCGAAGCCAGTTCAATCAAACTGCCAGTGAGAGTCGGCTTCAAGAAATGGCTCAAAAACTAAAAGAAAGCTTGAAACAAAGAAGTGGAATGTTTCAATACGTTGATCTCGGTGAACCCAGAACGGAAGAACAAACTCCACATGCTGAACGAGAAGCACGACCTGAAGAAGAGCCACATCGAAGAGACTCTAATGCCGATCTGCAGCACAGATCAGGGATCTCTGCAGAAAATGCGGAACAGACCAATCCAGGTGCAGAAGACACGACAGCCGAAGTGCCAACAGGGTCAGATTATGGGGGAATACATAATCCAGAAAATGATCAAGAAGGGGATTCGTTAATGGTGTATAATGCATACATTACAGAAACCAACATAGCCGGTACAGAAAGTGTCTTGGATGAGGGTACTCTGTGGAGTAAAAGGGAAAATCACGAAGACACTAAGGCTGATTTGTGCAAGATTGAATTCGATGTACCCAAACAGCAATTGACTAGATTTCTCATGAACCCATGCCTGTATGCAACCGAAATTGCAAAAGCAGCCAAGAAGACACACACTGAAGTACAGTATAGCCAATTGACTAAAGAAGAAAACAGAGATTTGATCAAGCAAAACGTAAAGAAATGAACTGTTGGCTTGAAACAAGTGCTGTATTGCCGATCTTGAACAGCAGAATCCATCCAAGTCGGATTATGTCGTCCAGATGGATCTTAACCTGGAAGACAGATCCAAATGCAGCTGACGGGCGAAAACCCAAAGCCCGGATCGTAGTAAGAGGATTTGAAGATCCAGAACTTGCTACAGTATCAACTGAAAGTCCAACATTATCCAGAGATGGACGAATGGCAGCACTGCAGACAATTGCCAGTCGACGTTGGCAATTGCAATCGTTCGATATCACAACTGCCTTTTTGCGAGGACGAAGTGATGAAAGACAGTTAGCAATGACCCCCGTAAGAGAACTAAGAGAACTCATGCAGTTAAAACCCGAAGAGATTTGTTTACTGCAAGGAAATGCATACGGAAGGGTTGATGCCCCACTTTGTTCTACAAGGAATTCCGTCGACGATTGGAAGAACAAGGATTTGAAGCGCACCCAATGGATGGTTGTTTATTCTTGTTGAGAAATCCCACCAACCCCAAGATCCTGGAAGGAATACTTGGAACACATGTAGATGATGGAATAGGAGGTGGAACAAAGTTCTTCGATGAAGCTTTGGAAAGACTGCAAAAACACCTGCCTTTCGGAAGTCGAGAATATGGAAAGTTTCGATTCACCGGATTAGGCATGGAGCAAATGCTAGACTTTTCAATCAGGGTAAGTCAAGAAAACAACATAATGAAAATAGATCCAATTGATGTGCCCAAAAGTCGAAGAAAGGAAGCAGAAACACAAGCAAACCCACATGAAGTACAGCAACTTCGAGCATTGTGCGGAAGTTTGCAGTATGCCGCTGTCCACTCTCGGCCAGACATAGCTGCAAAAGGGGCTTTTCTTCAAAAGCAGATTTGCAAGGCGACCATTGCAGACCTGTTGGAAGGAAATCGAATACTGAATGAGGCAAAAGAATTTGCTTCAACAGCAATGATTGTTCGTCCAATTCCATTGGAAGAACTACAGTAACGTTTGCTAGTTTTGGAGACGCCAGCTTTGCTTCTGAAAGTAAGTTAAAGGCACAACAGGGTTTGTTTATAATGGCGTGCGCAAAACGGTTGCAAGAAAACAAAGCGTCAGATTTCACTCCAATAGCTTGGAATTCCAAACAAATTGGTAGAGTAGTAAGATCTACTCTTAGTGCCGAAGCATATGGTATGTCCTCGTCACTTGACAAACTCACATGGATCCGTTGTCTTTGGAGCTACATCAATGACCCAAAATTTCAATGGTATAAACCCGAGGAAGCACTGAAGTATGTTCCCAAAGCACTCTTGATTACAGACTGTAAAAGCCTCTATGACTTAGTCACTAAGCTTGCAGTACCAAATTGCCAGGAGTGGAGAACGACCATTGAAGTAATGTTGATCAAGGAACAAGCCGGAGAACACTCGACATGCCGCTGGATATCAACAGCTATCATGCTGGCCGATGCTTTGACGAAGCCCATGGACTCAACGTTCATGCGTCGTGTCCTTCAACTAGGTCGGTCTAGAATTTACGATGAAGAGGGGAAGCCCAAACACAATGCAAATCGCAAGTACGGCAAAACATGTTGGCTGGAACCAAACACATTCGAAAAGATAAAAGAAAACGAATGTGAATCCAGTGGAGTCGGAAGGCAGGGTTCCTTCGAATGTGTCCCATCGCAATGACGATGGCTCAAGGCACCGGCAGGCAGGCAAATGGAAAAGGCGTGGCCGCCTAGCAGGAAAGGTGTTGACTAGGTAGCTAGGATAAGATCCTTGGAAGGATTCGTTACCAGTGGGACTGCATAGCAGTCACACACACACGCATATATATATATATATAGGCATTTACATGTGTATCTAGGAAGATCTAGGAAACCATCTTGCGAGGACATCTGCAGTGCAGCCTTCGTGCACCTATCGAGCGCGCCAACAATCTGCCAATGTTGCCAGCTTGTACTTAAAACATTTGCTCGCAACAGGACATCAGCGCCAAGCTACAAGCCGGATCAATCCTATTTCAAGCCTGAAAGAACATGAAAGAACTAGGCTTAACTAGGGAAGTATATGCCTTGAGGTGATGGAGCAATGCCCCGTCCGCATCAGGGCGTATCAGAAGGACCCGTGAGAAGACCTTTTTTTGGCCGCCGGTGTTTTGGATTCCGCAGCATTGGCTTGCACCAAGCTTGACATTTGCAGGACATGAAAGACGTTGAAGACATAGCAAATCGCACCTCTCTCAGAGTAAAATGCTTTCCGCGACCTGCGAAATCGGCTTAGGAATCCGACAATGCTCAAACCCGACAATGGTTAATATAGTATTCCTTTGTGCGGAAACGCTTGTATGTGGCAAGAGCTATGGCTGGTTCACTCAATCTTTGGTGTTTTGAAAGTAGAAAATCGTTGTCATCTTTGAAGTGAAGTGAGTAGTGGGATGTAGTCATGACTCGCCAGTCCCTACGAGATGTATCAAACTCAAGTGTGGGTTGGGGGCCTCTCCAGAAAGCCTCAATCATGTACACCTCAATCATCTACACTCTGCGTTGAATTCTTTGAGGTAAGCCTTATACCAATGGAAACGAGTTTTGCTTGTGCGACCCTGAGTCATTCAGCTCCACGGGGCAGCACTTAAAACAAATGACTCATTACTTGCTTGCTTCATGGAATTGAATTTAGCAAAGAACCTTGCACTCCGCTTGCGCTTGTATTCGGGGAGACATCTTCCCAAGGTCTGCGAAAAACATCACGAGTCCTCCAAAGGAGCTTGCAACTTGCAAGTCTTCTGAAGTGATGTTACGCCGAGCCAAGCCACGCCAGACCCTGCTTGTGCAGGAGGGTCTTCGTCCTCAACTTCCAACTTCAAAACTTGCTGCTTGACAGAGATTAAAGACGATTGAGGGCCAGTTGCAACTCCCCCCTGACTGTGGCCTTTGAACCTGAAAAGATCTATATAAACATGTCGGGTCGTATTAAGATTATACAATAACTTAATGCATTTTCACAACCTTTTGTCAGATGGGGGACACACTGCACGTTTTCAGTCAAGGACAAGCAATTTCAGAGATCTTTTGGAGGCCTGGATGTCTTTGTGTTGAGGGGTAGTTTTTGGCAGTCCCCGGACGCCGGACACACCACTGACCTGTATGATATATGCAAACCTTTGTTCAACCGCTTGGGTGATGCAACAGACGCAGGTGGTTCAATGAATTCTCCAAGCTACAAGTGCAGCTCACCATCCAGTGACCTTTGCCTTTGAGCCAACACAGACACATACAGACATACACACTGCAGCCAAGATCAGCTCTCTCCGTAATTGCCTAATGAACTTGCCACCGCAGTTACAGTGACGAGCTCTTCAGCTATTCATAAATACAGAAGGAACGCGTCCTAAATGGTGAGAGGTTGGACAAATGTGCCCAAAAGCACAAATGCATGAACACACCTGGTGTTATGAAACCATGCAGGAACATGTCACGTGTGCAAACCCTCAAGTTTGAAAGAATCAAACTTGAACACGAAAGGCTTTGAATCGACAGCCGACAGCACCACAATTCGGAAACTGCCCACAAATCAAGCTTTGGAAACAAGGACACTTTGTAGGTGGCCCTGGTGGCCCTCTCTCTCTCTCTGTCCCGATGCTGAGGTGGTCAAGACCTTGTTCACACCCTCACACCCCACCACACGAATTTGCAGACGCAGAGGAGTCGGGATCATACCTGTCAGAATGATCAAGAAAGTGTTGGTTTTGGCCTTGGGGCATGGTGGCGCTTCATCGTTTGTTTTTCACCGGTGGCCTTGCTTTGCCTTGTTTGTGAGGTACTGGAGCCGAGGCGGCAAGCGTCGTGGAGGACCCTGTAATGTTTTACGGAATGGAATACACGATCCTCTAGTGAAAAGCAAACGAAACAAGCCGATGGCCTGGCATTCCAGTAACCTTCAGTGGCCTTCGATCTACATATGTATATATATATATATCTTTCGCAGCAAAGGCCTCTGAAGGAACAACACTGACATGGCGCAGTGGCCACCCCCTCCTGCAGAGTCTATTTACACACCTCCTCCGCTGTCTGTGCAATTTCAACCAGTTTCGAGTTGGATCACACAATCACAATTCGCCAATGTGACCTTGGGGTTATTTGGTTGGCCGGCAGTTCAAGCACCCAAAATCAAATCCTAGGGACAAAGAATACAGGAATTCTCTTGCCGCGTGATAGGATGCTGAAATCAGCCCGCTGAGCCCTTTGGTGTTTCCAGCGCGAGGCGGTTTAGCAAGTCAAGGGAGTCGTTTCTTCAGTTCGCGTGCGATGTCAATGATCTCAACGTCAATATCATTTAGAGAAACAAGATGACGCAAGATGAAACAAGAAAGAATGAGACTGTTTGACCTGGAAGAAACGCGGAGTGGAAAGTGGACTGCAATCGGTCAACGATGCTGATGTGACAGGTTCATGTGCCTCCAACCCGCCCAGAATAACTGCAGGCTCAATGAGGTCAGCGATCTATTTCAATAATGTTTATGGACCGATCAAGCTTTTGAAGCTGCTGAAGACAAGAGAAAAACATCACATGTTTTTCCTGAGTGGCTACTTGTACTTTTATCACATTTTCTAAGTTTCACTTTTCAGAACAAACTATACAATGCAGTGTGCATGCTTCCGTGCCAGTTCAAGCGCTGCCAACTTCAAGGCATCGCCGAGGGGCAGACCCAGACACTAAAACAAATTCAGATGGGCCTCTTGTGCACTTGAAATTTAGATAAATTTGGTATTTTTAAGCGATCTATTGGCAGCCAGTTAGCACCAGTTCTGGAAGACCTTTCAGAGATATTCTCAGATTGATTCAGCTTTTGTTTATTTCATTTTTAGAAAGGCACCCTTTGGCCAAGCACAGCTTTGCATTGCAGACAGGCCGTTGAAGAAGACGGAAGCGTTGCTGGAAGCGTTGGTGAGCGTGAGTCTGTTTCTACAGTAGCCTCAATGCGCAGTGAGGCCAGCAACCCAGGATTGGACGTGTGTCATTCAAAACGAAGCAAAGGAGAAGAAGGCTTTTGAAAGATGTACCTAATAATTAGAAGAACAAAAACGTCTCCTGATCTTTCGATATACTTAGTAAATTTATATACTTAGTACGTTTGAATCCTGAGGGACGATGGGGAGGCCATGATGGCAAGGAGGTTCTGGCCAAGGCAGCGGGAGCACGATCCCTCAGCAATGTATTTTCTCCATCAAAAGTAAGTAGGCATGCATAGGCATGCCAATCTCAGTTCTAGATGGTTCTAGTTTCTACATGTTTCCACCATTTGCGGCATGCGTGTCATGTCAAGTTCAGTTGATTGTTTTGCCACTACTTGTCGACATCAGCCCCGATGCCTAGGGCCTGGGCTAAATAAATATATATATATATTTGTATATATGGTACCCCATCCGGGTACCTACCTTTTGGGTGATTTTACTGTATCTTACAGTGTTTTGTGCTGAGCTCTATCTGCTCACCATTCTAGTGCTTTGTGGTTGTCTCCAATATCTTGTATACATACATTCAAAAGGAAAACCAAAGTACCAAAACTGCAGACTCCATGACCTGGGCATGACCTGGGGAACCAAAGTACCAAAGTACCGAACCTGCAGACCTCATGACCTGGGGAACCAAAGTACCAAAGTACCAAAACTGCACAGAAGCCATGGCCTGACCTCAGCCACTCTGGGGACATAAATCTGTGCAGTTTTGGTATTTGGTATTTTGACATTGGAGGGAAAACCAAAGTACCAAAGTACCAAAACTGCACAAACCCATGTCCTCAGAGTGGCTGAAGTCAAGTCATGAGCTCTGCAATTTTGATACTTCGGTTTCCCAGGCCATTGGGTCTGCAGTTTTGGTACTTTGGTACTTTTGGTTTCCCTTGCAAAACCCAAATGTATTCCCAGCAACTTTGAAGATATAGGTGTGTGCAGTTTCCTGCTTGAATCTGGTTGTAATTGGCCTGAATCTTTTTTTAAATCAACTACCTTTAAATGAAACGACAACTAGCTTCTGGAATACAAATACATTCATTTGTTGTTTTTAGAATGGTTTAAGCATAGAACCGTAATGCTTTATGTAACTTGTTTTGATTTGACCCCAAATGGTTTTAATACATCTTTATTGGATTTTTAAGAAATATCCTTTATCGGTTCCAATGACTTGTAATTGTTAGAATACTAATATGCCTTGAAAAGCACAATGGTTTTGCATATCAAGTAGAATCCTAATGTAAACCTATGTTTTTAATCTTTAGTATATCTTAAGTTGTTTGTAAATAGTTGTTGTTTTTGGATTTGATTTTTAGTGGGCACTATGTTTTGTTTTTATATAGTTTTAGTTTATTTGCAACATTTTGAGCATTAGCCTAACTGGTTGCTTTATGTTTATAATCGTTTTGGTTTTGTACTGAAACTATTTTGGCCCTAATTGATTTTTAATTCGCTTGCAGTTGCTTGTTATATTTTCATTTAAAGAATAGAATCTTAGCAACATATGTTTTACATAATGTGCAACCAAACAGACTTTATATATTGTGGATCTTTTTTAACTGAATGTATTGCTTTTAGGTGGCCTAATTTACTTTTTACCTTGTTCAATTCGTTTTTATACATATGTATAATTTTGCATTTTAATTGTACTATTGAAATGTTTTTCATGTAGCTTTTAGCAAAGGTACACTAGGTTTAATTAGTATTCAATTAAGTTGAACTTGTTTTTAAAGGCCTTTTTGTTTCAAACATAAATACAGTTGTAGTTGCTGTTGGGTTAAATTGAACTCTTTTGGTGTTACAAAGTTGAGACAATTTTGTTTATTTTGTGTGTGTGTTTTTATTCTTTTAATTTTTTGTGTTGTTTTTAAACGTAAACAGAGTTAATTGAGATAAATTTGTTTTGATTTCTCTGATCCTCAAAGTTTCGCTTTAACATAGACTACAAATACTTTATATGCTTAAACTGTTCTCAAACCATTTATGTACATTTGGTTTTAGTTAAGTTTATCTACATGTTTAAATTTACATTTGTATTCACTTCCTTCTTGTTATAGAGTCATTCTTGGAACAAAAAATTGTTTTTTTGTTGCATTTTGTTTTTAGTTTGTTTTGAGACAGTTTTTGTATAGTTTCATGGAACTTTACTTGAATGTACGTGCCATTTCGCATCCACAAAGATCTTTGATCTTTGACGGAAGGTTTTGGAGAGGAAGCCTATTTGTGAGAGGGGCTTCTGAAGGGCAATTCTACTTTCACAGAGATCCAAAAGAAAAGCTGTTGAAATGAACGCCTTTATACTGGACTTTTAATCGTTGCATAGAGACCCGGAGGGCAACTTTTGAAATGAAACCTTTTACAACAATTCATTCTCATATAGAAGTGATCACCCCCAAAGATCAAAAAATTGGAATGAAAGCTTTTGTATAAAGCTTCTTAATATAAAAGTGATCATTCCCAGAGATCCAGAAAAACACATTTTTTTTTGCAATGAAAGGTTCTATATAATGATTGTTTTTCTCCAAGCAGTGTGGGCACACTGAGGGGTTCTTACGGTAGGGGAAAGGAAGCTGATGCTTAGATCGCTGAGGCGCGCGGCCGTGAACGGCTAATTCGTTGCTATTTACAGCGCATTCATGCCTCTCGACATCGTTCATGTGCACTTCGACTGCGCAGGCTCGCAGAATCTGGGTGTCTGCCGCGGGTGCTTCTAACCCCAGATTTCGTGGCAGGTGCAGCACTTGGTGGACCTCGAAGTGCAGATTTCGTGGCAGGCGCAGCACTTGGTGAACCTCAAAGTGCAGATTTCGTGGCAGGTGCAGCGTTTGGTGGACCTTGAAGTGCAGATTTCGCGACAGGTACAGCGCTTTGTGAACCTCGAAGTGCAGATTTCGTGGCAGGTACAGCACTTTGTGAACCTCGAAGCGCAGATTTCGTGGCAGGCGCAGCACTTGGCGAACCTCGAAGTGCAGATTTCGTGGCAGGCACAGTGACAGACACAGCGCATGGTGAACCTCGAAGTGCAGATTTCGTGGCAGGCACAGCGCTTGGTGAACTTCGAAGTGCAGATTTCGTGGCAGGCGCAGTACACTTTGTGCTCTCAGATGCCCACTCTCTCACTCTCCCACTTTCACTCACACTCACACTCCCTCACACTCCCACTCTCACTCTCACTCACACTTGCACTCACACTCACTCTCCCACTCCCACTCACAGCCACACTCCTCACACTCACACCTATACTCACTCTCCCACTCGCAGACTCTCACTCGCTCTCACTCACACTCGCACTCACACGCACACTCACTCACCCACACACTCTCACACTCACTCTCACTCGCGCCCACTTTCTCTCACTCTCACTCTCACTCTCACTCTCACCCTCACTCTCACTCTCACTCTCACTCTCACTCTCACTCTCACTCTCACTGTCGCTGTCGCTGTCGCTCTCACTCTCACTCTCACTCTCACTCTCACTCTCACCCACTCTCACACTCACTCACCCACCTTGTCTCACTCATACTCACAGTCACTCTCACTCTCCCTCACACTCACTCTCACCCACACTCCCTCTCACTCACACTCGCACTCACTCGCTCACTCTCCCACTCTCACTCGCACACACACTCTCACTCTCACCCACACTCACTAACTCTCACTCACGCTCAGTCACACTCACTCTCACTCTCACTCACACTCGCACTCACTCACACTCACTCTCCCACTCTCACTCACACACACTCTCACTCTCACCCACACTCACTAAGACTCTCACTCACGCTCACTCACACTCACACTCACTCTTACCCACACTCACTCTCACTCACACTCGCGCTCACACTCACTCTCCCAATCGCACTCGCACTCACTCTCCCACTCTCACTCACACACACACACACACTCCCTCTCACCCACACTCACTCACACCCACATTCACTTCATCACCGCCATCACCTCTCTGGAATGCGTCTGGATCTCTAGACTTTCTGCTTACAGACCTCACACACACCGTTTGGGGTCTCTTGCCGGGATAGTTAAACATAGAAGTGAAGTGACCATTCCCAAGGACCCAGAGGAAAGCCTTTAAAATGACAATTTTAAGATAAAGGTTTGGTGTAGAAGTGATCCATGGCCCACAGCCCGCATCTGATAAAATCAACCAAAAGGTTGGTACCGGAGGGGGGCGAGCGTATCTATATATGTATATATATATTTCTTTTTCATATATGTATGCGCAGTAATTCTCTCTGCTATATAATATATACTCGCGTACATACATGTGTAGAAGCGCATGAAATGTGCGCAGTGACACGTACAAGTACGAACCAAAGCCATCCGCAGGATTGGCTAAGATGGTTTGGATCAGGCCATCCGACCACGGTCTGATGGAAGTCCAAATGGAATCGACTGCTGTGGATGCTCTGTGGGTGTCGGACGCATCCGGACGCGCTGAGTCACCGACAACCGGGCGAATGTGATCCTCCCAACCCTCGTGCAAATTCGTGATGTGCCTGATGAAGAGCGCCCGGATGTTGGCTTGCCGACCTTTCTTGATCGCAGCTGCGGTGTGGGACACAGCCCGCTTGGGGCAGATGTGCTGGGGCAGGAGCCTCCGATGCGGGCGCGTGCGTTAACTGCCACTGCCTTCTTCCTCACGAGGCGCGCGTGTTACAAACCTTCGCCTACTGGGCGTGATGAGGACGCGACCTCTTCAACAGCCATCCGCCGTCCGTCGGAGGCGGGGGAAGACGAAGATGAGCGGATGCGCCTCGCCAACTTTCGTCCGACCCTGGACTTCGAAGCCTTTTGAGCACTCATGGGGTGGACCATTGAAGCGCTCCCTTGCACTCACTGCAGTAGCCCTGGAAAATGACACGCTGAGCGCTGTCGGACGCGCCGCCTTGTTTGGTCGCATTGCTAGGCAGTCGGACTTGGCCGCCCGCTTTCACTTTCGATTCGTTTGGGCCGAAGGTGACTTTTGGTTTCGTCGTGCGTTTGTATTGTGAGAGTGAGTTTCGCCAAGCATGAACCTCACGCCTTTCGTCACCCACCATGACACGTTTGACACGCATTGGGCCGTGCTCCTTGAAGGGACCGGTTGTGTGCAGTTTTGTTGATCTGGTGTTTGCGCGCTTGGCCCCACCCCTGGGGATGCACCCTGCGGAATCCTTCTCAGCATCTGAGAAGACGCGTGGGCGTGAGCGGTGTTATAACTACAAGCCAATCTATGGCAATCGAAAACCTCCTTCAACAAGGCGGCCGCAAGTCCGCGAAGTCATACAGCGGCGCGAGAAGGGAGTACGCGCTAGAGAAGTGGAGCAGACGATCTGAGATGCGGTCCATAGCATTGAGCGCGGACTGGAGCTATCCAAGCAAAGGGTTTGTTTGATCTCAACCTCTTCCGTTCCGTGTGAACTTGCAGGGCGTTTTCTGACTATATATACATCACCAACTTCATCTTGGTCATAGCCGGCGCCTAGTTCTTGATGAGAGCAATCGAACTCGCCAATGCGAAGGCGCATCACGTCCACATTGAGCATGAGGACAGCGCTCACCCCACCCCAGTCTCGAAGGTGGGCGCCAAGGGCAGGAGAGCATCCCGCCCTCGTCCTTGGACCTTCTTTTCGACCTGGCGCCAGGTCACGTCTGAGGCTATTAGACGGTCCCTGTCTATTGAATATATGACTGGAACACCGTTTGCCACATTCTAGCTGATGCGACCAACTCAACTCCATAACACGTGCTGCGCCACCGGCGAGCTTGATGCAGTGACGTACAGAGAGGGATGATTAGTGAGCAGCCGAAACAATTGCCGCGACACCAAGGCTCACAAGAGTGGGCACAGCTGCGCGGTAGAGCGGTTGTGACCGTGTTTGTGTTCATTCATGTTGCTTGTTTTGACTCATTCTGGCAAGATCTGGCAAGCAGGGCAGTTGAGTCTGGACGTTGCCGCGGAGTCTCATGTTGTTCCTGCGGCTATGGTAGTGGTTGCTGTCTTGATTGAAGCCATCAGGTAGAGCTGGAAACTCCACGTGGCAATGAAAAACTGCCAGCGCTGGCCTTAATCAAGACACGCGGTTGTGCCATCATGGAATGCCGACAAAGACGTGCAACGTAAAGTCCGGACTTGGATGCTTAGACTGGTGAAGTCCGTATTTGGAGCTCACCCGCATTGCTTGCAACTGTGTTAAAGGCTTGCTAATGTGAACCTATTCAGATACGTTGTGACAAAGTTGTTTCATGCAGATTCCTCCCAGCAGTAGCCCTTTTTCGTACGAAGCGATGATGAGCAAGTCAACCTGGGCCGGGTCCTAAACAACAGTCTTCTGTAATTACCACAAAACCCACCATAGGCCGAGTCCCGCAGCAGCTGCTCGAGAAACATGAGGACACGGGTTGGTGTACTTGCTGGTTTGTGGTGTTGACATGCGTGAAACTTGGGAAATCTTGGGACTAAACCCAGTTGCTCATCTACCGAGAAGGCCCATTCCCGAACAGCGTCCTTCTTTTCCCGAGAGAAACGGCATGATTCTGCAGGAAGGCTAAAGACTCGGCAGTCCACAGTGGATCAGGATGTGACCGCGTTGTTGCCTCAGATGTGGCATTGCTTTGCAGAACAGTATATATATATTATATATACATACAAATATATATATATATATTTGCCAGACATGTTGCACCTGGAAACAATTCAGTTGAACTTCTGATATTGAACCCCCTTCGCCCAAACAATTCCCAGAGAGTGTATCCAACGTAAAGTTGAGACCTCGCCAAGAGCCTGATGGACTGATTTTGGCATTCTGGACCTGATCAAACCCCAACATGACCCAACACCAAGGTGACACCCTTGTCATTTCTTGCGCACGCGGATCCTTTTGGCACTAATCCAGGGCTGTCTCATTTGACACGTTATAGATCCGACTCGCATTTGCATTGTGCATCGCTGTAAAACTCATTTTAATGGGGCTATTGAGGTCAGTAGGGTGGACCATCCTGCAAAACAAAACCACTGTTTTTAAGACGTTCACAATTACTACCGCAATGGTATTCTTTGTATTTTTCCCAAATGCGTAGCGAAGGGTTCTCGTTTAACTCTTGGGGGTCTGGGGGTAGAGCTTTGTTCGCGACCTGTTGCTTCTATGTTCGCAACCGTTCGCAACCGTCCGCAATCGTTCGCAACCGTTCGCAACCGTTCGCAGTAGAGCGCTAAGGCGCTGCCATTGGGAGAAGCTTTTGCAAGTGACCAGGCATGGATGTGTCATGTAAGCCAGCGCCATCCTAAATGGATATTTCAAATGTAAATGGATATTTCAAATTTGTTAGTGTACATACTTATCATACAGGTCATACATGTCATGATTTATGGTTCAAGCTGGCGCGCACTGGCCCACAGCTACTGTCATAAGCAAC